AACTTATGAATACTGCTACAAAGTAGCCAGGTAACAACTAACTCACGACTTAGCTGACAGAACCTCGAGAGTATCCTCCAACACGTCCTCACGCTACGAACGCTCGACCAAGACTGATGACCGATTACGGGTTCAGAGACAATCGATTGGCGCAACTCCATAATATCGTGGCCCAAGACAATTTCCTTAGAAAGTTACTCTGAAACTTTTCGATTTGTTTCTTATGACTTTTAGGCGTCAACTGCAGACCATCAAGTGAGTAGAAGGCTCGAAAGAAGCCTTTTTGGTTTCTAGTTAGTTCATCGCATTGCATTTTTCATTTGCATTCCCGGTCTAGGACGTAATACCAAGGTTCAACTGACAAACAACGAAATCGTTGTATTGTCTGAGGAGAGCTTCCGCCCAATGTTGGAAATCCTATCTACAGGAGATGGAGTCCTCATACTAGACGGTGAGTTTTATGGTTTCTCAACATTGAATAATATGTTGGGTTTACCCGTCATTTCGTTAAAAACTATTGTTGTAGCTCCAATCACATTGTTGATGTGTTGTAGCTCCAATCACATTGTTGAACATATTATACAAACATACTATGTTCAACAATGTGATTGGCCTCCAGTTTTTAATCAGTTGCTTGGGCTTTCCAGGCTTTGGGATTAAAGTGATAATGCCTTGTCTTTGGGTTATAGACAATTCTCCTTTCACATATACCTGATTCCAGTAGTTAGTAATGAATTGAATAGGTTCTTTCCAAAGGGCTCTAAAAAATTCTACGGTAAACCCGTCACTTCCTGGACTTTTGTTTAACCGCATATTTGAGAGGGCGTTCCATAGTTCCTGTTCTACGAATTGACCTTCTAAGACATTTTTTTCCTTTTCTGTTATTTGCGGGATTTTTAACTTTTTCAAGACCCTTTCTATTGTTTCAGACCCATGTTTTTCATTCTTGGAATACAAGTCTTTGTAGAAGGAGACAATGTTTTCCAAATATTTTTCGGGGCGCGTCACCATTTCCCCTTCAATATATAGTACGCAACTGATTCACTTTCCGATACCTGGCGTCCCGGTGGCGTTATGCAATCATGCGACCGCACCACAGTTTATACTCTGTATGGCCCGGTACAAACTGCCAAACGACGCTCCCAGTGGCCTTCTATCATTCTATGCCGATTGGCCGTCACATCATTGCATCATATCAATGAGAGTGCCAATTGTAAACCGCGATGTCTCCGCTAAAAGTCTAAAGTTTCGTTGTTGTAGCATCGCTCGTTCTAGGTGTTTCAATTTCTTTTTTTTTTTACCTTCATCGACCCTGCGATACTTGAGTCCTCCCTAAATCAAAAATGTCCAATTCTGAGACCGGTTTCAGTTCCTTCAACAGACTGCAAAATGTATTCATTTGCGAAAGGTCACACGATTTAAACAGGCAGATCTTCATCGGAGGAACACACACAACGGGTAAAAAGTGAAGCACCCCTCCGGATACATTCTCAGCACATCACAGGTGACCGAGGTGACACGTGACATCAGGTGCCTTGGTCGATCCGCCGGAGTTGTGAATCCTTGGGCATGAGTCCAACTTTCCCCACCAGTCTGTGACACTCCCCGATGTTATTGAGGACGTGCTCCAGGGTCCAGTGCTTCCTCAACAGGGCGTGATCGGCCGTGAAGGGCCCCACGCGCACGCAGCGGATCCCGGTGCACGCCGCCACCGTCTTCAACGCGAGACCCACGTCGTTCACGAGCACCTTCAGGTGGGTCACGGTCTCGTTCACGCACTGGAGTCGCAGCGTGGCGTCCGGGGGACGGAACTCCGTGCACGCGATGCCGTAGATCAGCGGGGGGGAGTTGCCGGCGGGGCGGAGGAGTCCCTTGCAGGCGAGGTCGAACGCTTCCTGCGACTGAGGGTCCACGCCGGAGTAGAGGAACTGGTTCTTCTGGTGGGCGGCCTGGATCCCGGCCAGGACGGAGTCCAGCCTCACCCGACTCACGTGCCCGTACGTCGCCTTCTCCACCACTTTCCCCTGGGTGTCGAACGAGTCCGTCCCCACCCCGAGCCTCAGCCCGACCTCGTAGACCTTGACCGGCCTCGAATCGTGGTACTCCATCGCCATCCCGCACCCCCTCCTTCCGATCCCCCACAGCTCCACCCCCGAGCACCACCAATCCAACCTCGACGTGTCGTAGATGCGTAAGTCCTCCGGGACGAAGCGGGGTCCCACCACCAGCGGATGAGTCGAGAGGCTCGCGTAGGATCTGACCGTCAGCTCCCCTTCCACGGGGTCTCCCTCGATCCTCACCTTCTCTCGCCTTTCCGTCACCTGCACAAACGCGAATCCTTCCACATCGTCGGAACACGACCGATAACCAGCTCTTTTCTAAACAACGATTTCGGTGTTCTACGCAGACGATCGTTTTGCCACTCGGCCTTTGCTCCTTCTCCTGCATCGTTGGTTCGAGTTCGTCTTGCAGCTTGGAGAGGGCTCAGAGACCGTTACCTTCACCACTTTTTCCCTACACCCACCCGACCCTTCGACGATACAAAATAGAAAAAGAGCTCCTTCTACATCTACTTGCCTGCGGCTCCTGGATCCTCCCGAACACGACCCCGGCTTTTTAGGAATATGGAAGCAGCAGGAATAGGAAATGTTCTAAAATAGATACTACGTTCCGTTCGTCGACCTCGAAAACGGGCGGAATCCGCCTCGTCACGTTCCTACCCCCGAATGCATTCATGTATGTGCTCGTAACCTTCACGACACGTTTGCGGTGGTGCGATGTCGGCCGCCATACACGCAATCGATAAAACCCGGCCCGGCTGGGTTTCTCCAGCCCCCGAACGAATCGCGTCTTCGTGCAGGCACCGGTCAAACACAGCACGAACTTCGAAAAAGTCTTTTTTAATTCGGTCTTAGTTCTGTGTTTCTGGCCTTTTGATACGGAGCGAAGGAGCAACGAAGAAGTTAATGCTTTTCAGCCGTTGCTGAAAAGCATTAGCTTCTTCGCGAGACAGACCCCCCCCCCCCCCCCCGTAAAGACGGCGCCTCGGCTGCCGTCATAGAACAGACGCCGCCCCACACACCCCAGATGAAACGAGCCGAAGTAGCACCCGCTCGTTCCCCTTTCACCACGGGCTACAGGCCGGGTGAGATCCCCTGCCTCTCCTCCACGCGTGAGGCTCGACGAAGGCGACCTCCCCCGACCGGTCGGCTTCTCGCAAACCAACGGTCGACCGGGAACCCGACGGACTCTCGACCGTTCCGTCGACGGGGAGACGGCGGCTACCACGATCGGCAGAAACGACACGAAAACGACCCCGTAGCCCGTATTCTCGAGAACGGAAGCACGAGTAACTGGAAATCGCGAGACCGGCAGAGCGACGAGAAATATTCGGAACGTCCCGAAAACGTACTCAAAACAGACATTAACGCCAGCAATCCAATGCGAACTAGACTCAGCCTTAACTCCCTTCCTCCCCCCCCCCCCCCTCTCTCTCCGGTTTTGGTGGTAACTTTTCGAGACGGAACAACCGAGGGTCAAAGAAACTTACTTCTGCATGATCTTGCTTGGATTTCCTCATGGAGCCATTTGAGCAGACAGAATTTTGCTTCTCTACAGTCTTGCACTTCGACCCCTCCCCCTCCACGAGCGAACCGCATCAGACGAAGAATGCAGTGAACTCGGCTAGACTGGGAAAAGCCAGGGGCTGCCGACCAGAGTAGAGAGTATAATTAGAGGCTTCCACTCCGCTGGAATCCCATTCATGGACAGGGTCTCGATAGAGATGTCGCTGTCGATCCTTGATCGAGCGGCCGCACGTCAACAACTTCTCCACGGACGAGCAGAGGACTCGACGCGACACGCGCGTTACGTTCGTGGATCCCTTCCGGTCGAATCCCCGAACGAGTCGATTCCCGATTCCGCTGCCACGAAGGAAGCGTACAGAAGTGTTCTTCATAACTTGCCACCAGATGTCTCTGTGATATTCGGACCCTCCCCTTTTTAGCTCAGTGCCCTCCCCTACCCCTGGTAGTGTCGCCTTCATTTCCACTCGATGCCGCCGGCCTTTCCCTGCTCGGTCGAGTCGAGCGAGTCGAAACGACGAACCCTTTCTCCGTCCCGACGAAAAGCGTTCGACGTCGATTCACGATCACGAAGCGACACAGAAACGTGGAAGCAATGGAAATGCTTTCTCGCCTTTTTTCGTTCAAGCTTCAAAAACGGAATGGTTTCGCACAAATACAACTCGTTTTCTTTTTCAAATAATCCCTTGTAAAATAATCTGGTCGAGATGGATCTGGAAATGTTGCATGCGGTGAAATGTGATGCGATGATGCGACCGTTCGACTTCAAAAGAGCATTTACTTTTCAGGGTTGCATCTCGTGGCGATCGTTTGAAAGGCACCACCTTCGAAAACAAGGCTGTAACACGTGTTGCCCTTGAAATGCGAGTCCTTGAATGGAATATGTGCAAAATCACACCGTCTTTAAAACATAAATAACAAGTGAGAAGGCATTTACACGGCTTCGATGCTTCTGTGTCGCCCCGTGTAACGGACGCCTGTGGATTGCGTTGTTGGCTGCGGGTGCCACGTGTCGGACGGGAGGAGTCCGATAACGAAAAACTTGTTTACTCGGCTCTCCCGAGCCCGACTTCCCGGTCGGGAAAATGTCGTTGGGAGACCCGCGGCGGTTGGCACGCTCTCGTAAAACTCTCGACGCGACGCATGACATGAGATAACTTTTTTTTTTGTTTGTTCACGGCTTGAAAGCAAGAATCGTTGCGCCTCCCTTCGAACCTCCTGCCGATTTCTGGTGAGAATTCGTTTTCCGGTCGTAAAAAAATCATATGTCACTAGAAAGAAAGCAAGAGCAAAATCCCCCGAAAACTAGACGGAAAAAAATAATAATAATAATAAATAATAAATGAATATACCGGCATTTCGTTGAGGTCCCGACAGAGATTCCCTCCGATGACCCGCCGCATCTGCCTCCTCCCGATCCCGCTCGGCTTGTACGCGCAGAAGAGCCCGTTGAGGAGGCGGTAGGCCCGGAGCGCTGACCCCACCGCGACGATCCCAGCCTCTTCCATTCCCTTTCCGGGGGGGGGGAGGAAATGCGGTTCGATGGGATCGATGGAAAAAAAACAAAAGACGGATCTATGCACGAAGCGAAGTGTGCTAGGGTTATTTTTTTTCGCCTTCGGGGGAGCATGACGGTGGTATATGTGGGTGAAAATTAAATTACGGACCGATATCTTTGGTGCATTCCAGCAAGTCATCCGCCTGGTGATAACTCGATGCCACGGAGGGTGATTTACGTGAAAATCACCAGCCAGCCACGGGATACTGGTCCTGGCCAATGTTTTTACCTCTTCGTTCGAAGAGACGGCATTCAAAGGGAAAGGATTCAATACGGAAAAATAATTTCATGTTCTGAATTGCAAGTTTATTCCATCTCTAAAAATCATTCTGCATCGGTGACAGCCGGCTGCAATCGTGCCGAGTCCGACCAGACCATCTCAAAAGGGCTGACTTTTCAACTCTTTTCTTTCTTAGACAGTAGAGAACATGAGGCCAGTATACATCCTTAACCATGAATTCCATTCAAACAAATTGAATGTATTAGCAAAAAATAAAACTTGCAGAAAAAAAAGCATAGGGAATATAAATAAAGCACTGACAAGAAAATCACAAACATTCTAAAGCTCATCCAAGTCCCCCGGATAATGAAAACTTGAACACTTTAAACCCAGTGTAAAGTGATTTATAAAGACGATCTGGAGAGTAGGACATTGATTGGCACCAGTATCTAACATGGACACATGCATGGCAACATAATGGAGCTCGTCGACAGTTTAGGAATGGTGTCGGAAAGCATTCCTAGACCAACTGTTTGGATGGATGCAGTTGCAAGATACAGAAACATGTACATGCATTAAGGGCCTGGAATGCAGATAGAAATGGAAAAGAGCTTATTTTGTACAATGTGACATGAGATTGTTTGCTTGAAACAGGTCAAGATCATCTTTGTGACAATAAACACACTCTTAAGTAGCAAATACCCTCCTCAAAGTTCTCGTCTGCGACCTAGACGTTGCCAGAAGCTAGGAATGCCACTCTCTCCACACGAGTGTGCGGGAGAGGACACCGAAGAAGGCACACTAGATTACATCCTGGAACACTCATTGTTCGGAAACGGTGCCGGGAGCTACACGAGGTCTGACTAGATACCTCCGGTCAAATACTGAACTGGGAGACGACTGGAAGCAGGGCACACGAAGCGGATCCTGACGGTAACCGAGTCGGAGGGAGCATCGGGTAAACGAGTATCACAGAGAAGACATTCCCAGAGTATAGATGATATAGCTTTGAATATGGACTATCCGGTCATATTTGAGCGGCAAACGACAGGCACGCGTCCACGACGGAGCACGGACGATGCCCGTCGCGTCGCGATGCCGGACGGCAGAGGGGTCCGTGATCCGTCGTGGGGTTCCGAACGCGCTTAGGCCTAGGGGGATGCAAAGGAAAGGTGCAGGGATTCAGGTGAAGATGGGGAGATTGTAGAGGTCATAGCCCTTGCACCCACACACAGCACAACAGATGTAGACCAAGTGATAGAGACCAGGGATGAGGCAGAGCCCACCGGCGATGAAGAATGCCAACCCTCGGACGACATCCAGCCCCATCGCCTCGACGATGATTCCGGCCGCTACCAAGCCTGTGTGACAACGTCATCGTTTAAGAATCCCAAAGGTTGTATGCATAGAAATTTTTCCGAGCAAACGTCAGACCGACCGATCCCGAGTAAACAGAGGACGATCGTGACCAGGACGAGCCGAAAGTTCTCTTGGAGGAGTTGGTAACAGAGAGCAGATTTGTCCCGCGATCCCACGATGAGAGAATCACTGTCAGAAGACACCGAGAACCTTTGCTGCAGAAGAGAAACAAAAATAAGCACATGTGAAGTCAGCCATAAAAAAAAGTGGATACTCCTCATCTTAGACCAAGAAGAAAAGTAATGCAATATTCCCATAGGAAAGGAAACACAGAACATGGGCCTAGCTCATGGGCAAAGAAACTTACTTCTGCATGATCTTGCTTGGATTTCCTCATGGAGCCATTTGAGCAGACAGAATTTTGCTTCTCTACAGTCTTGCACTTCGACCCTTCCACCTTCACGATGATGGAATTCGGGGAAAGTCTTCCACTCTTTCCGTTCTCACAATCCATCTTCACTGACTAATGCCCAGAATCCGGACAGTGTGAACACAATGGATCCCCTCTTTGATACGTGTCACATCCCAGACACACTCAAATCTGACAGGATCTGCGAAGAATTTTCAAGCCTTTAAAAACACCTGCAAGGTCTGTGAGTGAATAAAAGATGTACACGTGAGGCAAGGCTCGATTATGCATCAAGGCTCCACGACCGTCAGCCAAGACACCCATAACGTTACAGGTCCTAGGCCAACACAGATCTTATCACAAACTAAATCTGCTCCAGAGACGCAGATTGAGAGAAGAAACTAAAGCTGGCCTAGGGCCAACCTACGACAGCAGAATCGAATGAGGATGAGCCAGGGTCCATGATGAACACGCAGTAGCCAAGTGGAAACCTACACCGACATAAGGGTTACGCATGCCCTTCCCCACCATGCGGAGCGAGGACGACGAACTAAAATTCAAGGCAAGCGAGGAAGCAGCAGTAGGCCTAGAATCTCCGCGTCTTTCGTCACTTCTAACGTTCTTCGCAATTGAAATTCATCGTCCTGCTGCAAGGCCTACAGGGCAGAAGGACGAGTCCCAAGTTCAAAGCCTCGCAAACAAAACAAAAACAGCCATCATTATCCATGCGTGAATGGTCCGATGCTTTTTCTCGACGTCTATGGAGATAAAGCGTAAGCTGTTAACTCACGCATTAATACACAGATGTCGTCCCATGCGAAAGGCCAAGGATCTCCAACCCGGAACAGCTCGTTTCTTGTGAAATTCTTGTCCTGATTCGCTACACGAGGACATTCCATGACACGAAAGACCATCCCACATGGAATGAAATGGAAGATTTAAGCTCGGTCCTCGAGTGCTCGCATACGCATCCATATTTTTATTCCTGAACTGAATCCTAATCGATTCCTGTAGATCAAGAGGGTGAAACATAGGCGGTGGTTCATCCGGCCCGCCGCCTGTTCTTGAAATTTCCGCTTGAATCAACTGTCAGCACAGATTTCGATGCGAAATTATGGGTGCGACCCGCATGCATCTGCAGGGTAAGGAATGCGGCCCGCCGACCGATTTGAGTTTGACTCCACTGCTGTAGACTACTTGCAGAAGAGCATGGCTATAATCGAAATGTATCTAACCTATCTTGTTTTGAGGCCAGCAAACTTGCTCTGCTTATGGGACCGATTTAATCGGTTCGGACGATGGACGTCCACCAGGTAACGGTCCTCCCCAGCATTGGAAATGAGCCCCACGCGGAAGCAAAGGGCTAGCGGACGCGACACGATTGCCTTCCCCCGAATGCGCGAGGACGTCGGAGGGAGCGGAAGTCGCGCGCCGAGTGGAATTCAACCGAGTTAATGAAGCAGCCGATGCTCCTGCTGTCCGTGGAGCAGCGGTTCCGTCGCAAGAGTAGATCGAATCCTGGAGTCCTTGTTGGGAGGCTGAGAAGGAGGGGCCCGCCTTGGCAATCATTACAGTATTAACACTGCAAGAGCGGAATTTTCCTTCCCTTTTGTTTTTGGGAACGCTGTTCCCACTTCTTCCTGGTTACTTTAATCACTGGGTAACCCCATTTATAACGGGAGGACGCGAATATTTTATCTGAAAATCGCCATGAGCCTAAAGTTCAGGGCCCAGACCCAAATGTCAAAATGCCGCGATTAGAACGCGATGGATAAATGTGGAAATGTCTAAGTGCGACTATCGTTTTCTCATTGGCGCTTCTTGATTTTGTGCCGACTTTAGCCTAATGTCTCAGAAGATCTAGATAGAAAATATGCATACGCCATCATAATATAATATTTGCAAGCTTTCCGGCAAGAATTGTCCTCACAACCCATAGGAAGCATTCACAAATCCAGACTTGGTGACAAGACAAATAGGTAGAACTGCAACACTTCATAAGCTGAATTTGCCACACAATCATGAAGGTAGAAGAGGGGTAGGGTCATTTTCAGACTGATACAATTAGTGCAGGTGGCATATTGCATGACTAACTACGATTGCAGAAATGTATGTTGGAGGCTATGATGTCTTCCCAATATGAAGTTTTGCTTTAAAAAAATCGGAAAAAAAGAGCAATCGGATGGCAAAGGCAAAAAGCAATCCAAAGCCATTGAAAGAAAAAGATTTTATTTAGTTACCATACTGTATAACATTGCAAACTTTGAAAATATAATGTCCCAATAAATAATGATCCAGTATTGGAAAAATACACCAGGGTATTGCCATGAAAGAAATAGAATCACAGAAACATGACACAAAGGCCTCTCCTACATGTCGTCTTCGTCTTCTTCCTCGGGGCAGCACTGGAAGAGAAGAGAGAAGAAACCGAGAAATGCAGGAAAAGCTTTCATGACATGAAGGACAACTTACAAAAAAGTCAACGATGCACGGTTTCCCTTCCTCCGATCGTAGCATGAACTGGAAGCAGAGGAAGCCACGATCATCCACCTGAAGAGAAACCTTCTGAGCGGTGCTCAACGCCCGATTGCACAATCTCACCAGGGTCAGTCGATAAGCATTCGATGTGGCCTTGGTGCACGTGAACGACTCCACGATCGGCGAAGTCTTTGGGATGTCGATCTGCAATTGCAAGCATAACCTCATTGGGAAGGAAAAAAAAAAGGAACATCAATATGGTACATATGTCAAATAAAACAAACATGGCAGAGCCCTGCCATGCCATCAGTCGAGAGCCTCAGCTGTGGTTCTTCGGGTTGAATGGCGATGCGGAGCTGCTCGCTGGATGTGTCCAGTTCGTTGAAGATGTCCTTGACAGCTTCAGCTTTCATGATGATCTTGGCTGCCATAGCATTGTTCACAATTGAAAAATCCATGGTGTCCTCTGGTTCCTGAGTTTGGATACTACAGTCAGTCACAATTCCTGGCTCTTCCAGGCTGTAATGAAACCACAAAATTTATGAATATTCTAATGATGCTGCCTCACTAATGGGCATTACCTGCCTAGGTTTCTCAGGCAAAGGCAATAGGCAAATTACCCACTGCCATTGATGGAGCAGACAGAATTGAAGCTTTTCTCTCTGGCTATGACAGCTAAACTCCTGTCCCAATAACACTGGTGTGGTACTAGCAGCTGCATGGCCAAGACAATCTGAATTTGCTCTCGATTTCGCATTTTTAAATACCCCAGTTAGAGCAGGTGGACTCTGACATGATTGCACTTTTTACTTTGCAATACTCATGATTCACAACTATTCATTTGCTTCTCCATCACACAATCTCTCATTCATCCAAGGATGAATGAGGACAACTTACTGTATATTGGATTATGTTATTCCTGGAGATAAGCCACACCAGATGCCTAAGATGATGTTTACAATGCAAAGGTGATGGCAAATCAAATCAATGATAGCAAGGAACGAAATCACCTTACATGAGAAGTAAGGGGGCACCAGGTTCAGCATAACACATCTTAAGGGCAGTGCTCATTCCTGGTGATGAAGGAGATGCCCCCAGCATTTGGAGGCAGTGAAGGAAGAAGGAGAGGTTGATGCGGAACACCAGGGTGTCCTCGGCGTCTCGAAGAAAGAACTGCTGGAACAAGTCTGACTGGATGAAGGCATTTGCTTGAACACATTTAGCTTCCTCCACTGTCACCTTCAACCCATTGGATGACACGTAGACCACTGCAGTCTGGGATGACAAAAGGAAAAGCCAAATGTAATGTTTCTGCAATCAGGTTTCTTCTCAAGGATGGAAATTTTTCTGAAGAAGCAATTACATAGGAAAAGCTTACATCTCTGAAATTGACAGCCTTGAGGAGCTGAGCCACATTGCGGGCATTGTCGATCTTTGCCATCAGAGCATTGGATTGCTCAGAGTCACCCATCTTCAGAAATTCTCATTCCTCACAGCCTACACCATGATTGCCTTACAAAGCTGGTAGTGAAACTCATCATTGTCAGAAATATCATTTTTCAATGTAAATTCATCCTTTTGATGGTCAGTACAGCCTATTAATGGGACACAATCAAGAATCTTCATTGAGCATCCTGTAGATGAAACACTGAAATTAAATTATAAGTTAACCTATGCTGATGACCTAATCCATCTTCAAACACTAGATGTCTAATAGAAGGAAGTTTGGCTTTCAGGCCAACAGCCTGACAGAAAACAAGCCGTTTCCTTCAGTAAATGTAACCAAAACATATTTTTTCATGTCTACAGTTCAAGCAAGATACAGATGCTGGTGACAAATGAAGACTGTTTATTTCCCTGTCACATACATGCATGAGGAATGCCCATGAGATCCTATGAAAACATGAGAAATAAAACCAAGATCACAACTTCAGCATTTTCTCAATCCTGCCTTTAAAAAGCCAGTATAAACTTTCTTCACAACTGGATGATTAGTGCAAGGACACCAATGAACTTGTAAGTCCAGATAATTACAGAATCAGACAGGAAAAAAATTGTCTTAATGCACAAGAGCACAAATAAAACTATTACTTCTGGTGCCAGGAAATAAAATCAAATGATGTCTGCATGAGCAAAGATTGGCACAAGTGGATACCACAAATTTCTCATTAGACAATTAGACTGATTTAATGAATCTCACACAACACACCCACTTTCCACAAGGAACTTTGAAGTCACAATTAGCGTTTGGTGCAAGGGGAAAATGTGACTTTTTTCATTGGAGGAGCTCCATTGTCTGTAGGAGAAGATGCTCCTGATAATGAATCCTTCAGTTCTTCCATAAGAGACTCTGTGAAACTGAAATCACCCTCCTCTTCCTCCTCCTCTGGCCTAGGTAATATGAAAAAAAGGCAGAAAACTATTTACCTACAGAGCATGATGAATGAACTTCATTGCACCACTGTGGCCCAGTGGATTGGATCTTTTGCTAGCCTGGGGGAGTGGACAGTTTCAAATCCAACAGGCAGCAGGTGGTATTCTCTAGGGTCAACAATTCACCTAGCTGCTTTTGTTCACTACCTACACTCCCTTGGGCTCAGGCATGGACTATTCCATGCTTCATTATAAATGATGGTGCCCCTCAATTGCAGTCAGCCATATTGAGCCCTGTTGGTCCAATGCACAGTGAAGGAAGCTCTCATGGTTGAGCAGCATCAAAGTTCTCATCACCTTCATTGGACCCATGAAAACATGATACATAGGGGCAGAGAGCATGGGAAGGCATGGCAATGCCATCAGGGAGGTCCAATTTAATTACCCTTCCTCCACTATGTGTTTAGCAGCTTTTAGCATTTCTATTTGTTTGGGTAAGTCCATCCCAGTCCACACATTCAACAAAAAAAAAAGAGAGGAGTGAAGTCTGCTCACCTTCTCTTCAGTGGCTTTCTAACTGAGGAAGGTGGACTGCAATCAGAAATCAGGCTCTCCAAGCTGGGAATACGGAAGAAGTCTCGTCCTTGGATCCGCAACACGTTCATCCTCGTCGAATCACTGCCTTCATCATCCTCACATCCAACCAGAAGGCCATCCACATCTTTGGCACCTATGGCAGCATATATCCATGAATTACAATAGACATTCTAGTCTTTATTAAGCCTGCTACTACAGTTCTGAGTCCAATGACCTTGATACCAAAATGTAGCATTTATTTAGGCTCTGCCATAAATTTGCAGAATCTGATGTTTGGAGGATTTTCATGAAGACATGTGATAGTACTTAGGAAAGGTATGCTGAAGACATTCTTAGGGAATGAAGAAATGAAGCAAAGAAATAAACATATGACAATCAATCAGAGTTCAGGTAGTTACAGGGTGAAGGCGAAGAACTAAAGCTTACCAAGGATTCGAGGATTATTGAGTTCCAGAGGTTTGAAGATAGGCTGAGAGCCCTCCTGTGTACAGGTGGATTTGTCTATCTTCAAGGCCTCAATGCCATTGTAGTGGAATGTGAAGATATAAGGACAATGAAATGCTGCCAAGAGATTAAAAAAACATGACATAAAATAATCACAGGGGGAAGCACTCAATCATGATCAAGAAAAGTAAAAAAAATTAATTTACCAATGTCAGTGGGAAGACGGTTCCAACAGAGTTCCCCTCGCCGACTCTTACGGCCATGACTATTGACAAACACTGCACCCTGTCTAAAGCAGACCAGGAGTTCAGTTTTGGAGACATGGAAGATGCCAATAGGACTCTGTTGAACCTTGCGCTGGGAGTCCCATGACAAAGGGCGAAGACTCTTGTCTCCCTCATCCAAAAACTCTGTAATAAGGAATGAGAATCACATAACACATGCAACTCAACCTTAATCTGAATCTCAAGAAGACAAACAAGGAGCTCACCAGTACAAGACCAGTCCTTGAGATCAATCCTTTTGATGCCATTCATGCAGACAAGGACAGACTCTTCATGGAAGAGGAGAGCTGGTGATGGCCCACTGATGGGGAAAATTCGCTTCTTGACAAACGTGTATGCTGTCACATCCCACTTCAGTATTCTAAACAATTATAAATGAAGAAAGTTTTTCAGCATAAGTACCACACTAAAAAATGCTTAGGGGATTCAAAAGCAATTTTAGGCAAACTCACACAATCTCTTGGGAGGTACAAACAGCCAGGAAGGGGGCTTGCTCATATGCAGGGTTGACTGAGAAGAGCTGAACATCTTTCAGGTCTTCGATGGAAGCAAGCTTCAACTCCAGTTTTGAAGATGTCAGGGACTTTAAACCTGTTGTGACGAGGGACAGGCTGGTGAGAGAAAGACTCTTCTTTGGGCCTGTAATGATCAAAGAAACATGATGAACATTCCTCTCACACTCACTTTTGACTGATTTTTAAATAAATAGAAAACTTCACCATGCACAAGAAGAATTATTTTGAGGGAATACAGAGGCTGCATGGAATGAACTTCATCAATCCCCTTAAAGAGGCAAGTGAGTTCCACTGGCTCTCCATTTGGGGCAGGCACCTGTCCCGAAACTATGCCCTCCTGTGTTCCCAACATCAGAAGCTAGAAAAAAAATTTGATTAAAAAAATCCTGTAAGCTGTGATTGATCAGAAACAAATGGTTGCTGAAGAAAAGGATGGGAAAATCTAAGCAAGTGATGACTCAAACTGTAAAAGAACCTTTGTTACAAAGCCAACAATGATTTGGCTACCTTATCATTGAGAACAAGGGCACAGTGAACAGGCATGATGACAGAGCAAAGAAGTTGAGGCTCTCGAACAGGTAGATCATCCTGGGGCTTCCTGGCAAGTGCAAGAATGCCTTCTAGGGTTGCAACCCATGCCTTTTTTACAGGATATGATGGTGCCAGGAAGAAGATTTGCTCCTTTGGAAATGCCTGGCCAAACTCATATTGCTCCACCTGTTCATGAATTCCATAAAATATCATAGCAGGAGATAGTACAAAAGCGGTCATAATTGGAAATTCACAATGTAGGACCTTGAAAACAAAAGGTAGATCTGTGGATGGGACACTGGGAAGTTCTGAGTTATCAACTGATTCAGTGACAGCTGTGAATCCAGAAAGTGGGATTAGATCCAGAGTTTCTGATAAGGGAGACATAACAGAACCAGATTGTGGTTCTTGCAAATGCATCATGACCACTGTCGAGTCCAGGGTTAGGTGTCGTGGTACCCAGCATTTCTTCCTGCAACATCCAAAACAGAAGCCTCACATACTGACCCACAATTAGAAAATAAAAGTCAATCTGTAAGAACTCAATAAGCCTTAATACTCACGAGTTTAGGATTTTTATATCTCCCCTCTTCATTGGAACTGAGGGCTCATCTTCCTTTTCATTGAGGTCCTTATACTTCCTTGAAGAGGAGTCTGGTGGAGGTTGAGAGAGTTCAGCAATCTGAGCCACCATCTCAGATGTGAGGCCACAGAATGGGCTCTCAACATTCAGCTTATCACAGCACTGAACAAGATTTATAAAAGTCAATCAAAAATCATACTTTGAAAGCCAAGCACTTGGAAACATGAACACTCACTTGTGGATGGACAGAGATGCCACAAGATTGGCACTTAGATGACTGTCGGCCAATGGAGATGGAGGACAAGCATCCCCTGCATGTTGTGCTTTTCATTTGGACAAGAGGCTGAAATCTGAAATCAATCCAAATGCCTTGCAAACCTTTGTCAAACCTTGCAATGAAGGGTCACAACAGGTAATAATTGGTGGTCTCACTTATGGGGAATGTTGTGTCTAAGTCGCTGGGTGACAGGAGTACTCAGTCCTTTCACAGGAGACTTTGCCATTGGAGCCAGGGCCTTTCTTGATTGGGGGGATATGGGCATCGTCATGGGAGTTCCTCGAGGCATCTTAGATGCTGCCACTGAAACAAAAAATTTAAGAAATGCCAAGCTAAATCCACAAAGACTCTAATAAACATTATGAAGGGCAAAGAGAAACCTGAGGGTGTTTGAGGCTGGTGCCTGGCAGGTGACGGTGAAGGAGGTGCCATTGAATTGGCAAGAGGAAGTGTGTGGACTTCCCTCTTAGGAGTCATCAATGGAGTCACGTTTTCTTTTGGTCGACCAGAGCCAAAGAAATGCAATCCACCCTGTCAAATGAAAAATCTTTCCCATAAAGCCAAGCAATTCAGGTATTCCATATCATTGAAGGAGAAGAATCCCACCTTCCGCTTCTTGCTGGGCTCCTCTTTGTGCATGTGTTCCACTAGCTTCATTAATTGAGAGATCTGTTCCTCCTTTTGAAGTTTATCTTGCGTTGACTCTGTTTCCAACTTGTCCAGCTGATACTCCAGCTCATCAACTCTGCAGATGAAAGAAAGATCTCAGCATATTCCATGCATCTTGGAAATCAGCCCTTTTCAGTAGCAGCATGTCATCCCAATATTCAAAGTGAGAAGATGTGTAAAAAGAAGAGGAATACAAAAATCCCAATTCTGAAGGGGAAAGGGAGTGTAACATGGAGAGTACCAAGATGAAGTGCAAGTCTTGCACTGGCGCACTAAAGTGCAGTCACTACATCAACAGAAAACTGTAGCCTTACTTGGCTTGTGTACTTTGAAGGATCCCACGAGCTTCCTCCAGGTCATTAGCTATAGCAGCACTATGAGTCAGAGCCTGCTCTTTGGCCTTCTCTTCGTCATAGAGGCGAAGTCTCAACTCCGTCACCTCTCCTTTCAATCTAGTCATTTCTACTGACAGCCGCTCCACTGTGTTGTTCTTCACAGCATGAGAGGCCTCGGTTGAATTCAATTCTTCACGCAAACTGGCAATCTTCAAAGAATGAAAATTCCATCAGTAATTCATTCTTAATGAGTGAAGCCTACAATACTCAGAACAACTGATTGTCATTCTTACTTCCTTGCCCTTCAATGCAAGGTCTTGTTCACGATCCTCCAGCGACTTCCGAAGGAATTCCAGCTCCCCTTCCAATTCTGTGGCTCTCATTTGCAGATCTCGTTCAATGTCTTTCCATTTCTTCTCATCATAGATTCTGAGGGACTTCTCCTCATTCACAATCGCCCTAGTAGACTTCACTTCCTCCTGTTGGGCAACCAACTGCTCTTCTAGGGCTTTCCTACATACAAGCACATCAAGGAATATAATCAGAACCATTTAACAAACTTTAAACAAGATACACTGAAGTGAAGAACTTGGATTCACTTTTGGCTCTCAAGGTCTTGAATCTTCCTCTCATTTTCCTTCTGAAGTTTCTCCCATCCTTGGATATCATCTTCTTGGAGGGTCAGTATCTTCTTCAGACCTTCTACTTCCTAAGATACAAAGATTTCAATTCATATATGAATAACTATGCACCAGCACTTGCCAGGAGATAATCTCTGGAGTCATGATCCTCACTTTCTGAAGCTTTCTGACAGCAATCTTCTCCTGCTGCAACTCAGCATTGAGACTGGTCTTCTCAGACAATAATGCATCCCTGCTGCCCTGTATATCATGAAGATGCTCCTCAATGAACTTGCGCTTGAGTTCAAGTGCCATTGTTTCTTGTTCCATTTCAGTAATCTTGCTCAAGCGCCCTTGCAGGAGCTGAACTTCTGATTTCAGTGAGGAATTTTCTTGGTTCAGGGTCTCCATATCAGCCTATGGAAATATCATCTGAGCCCTATAGAGAGGCTGAGACACAATGCATAAAAAAAATCTAGAAAGAGGCCTGACCTGCATTTTCTGCTTTAATGCTGCAATTTCCTTGTTCTTCTCAGTCACAACATTTGATGCTTCAGAAATGACATCATTCAATTCTTGTTCAGCCATCTTGATCTTCTTGACTGATGACTCAGCAGCACGAAGTGCTGCTTCCAGCTCACTCTCCTTCTTCTTCAGGTTCTTATTTTCTGCCTCTGCATCCCGAAGCATGCGCTCATACATGCGTCGATCCAGCTGGGCAGTGCTCAAAGCCTTTTCGGTCTGCCAGATTTCCAAAAAAATCACCATTGGGGCATTGTAACAAAGTTTGTGTTAAGCATGCCAAGACAAAAATATCTTACTAATGCCAGCTTATCCTCTAAATCATCAGCTCGCTTCTTTTCCAATACTCCCTTTTCCTTGGCTTGATCACGCTGGAGCTCCAAGCGTTCAATCTGGGCCTTCCACACTTGGTTCTCGTTCCGGTCTCCACTGGAAAATCCATGTTTATAGATTAAATCCCCTCACCACTGCAAACTGCATCTGCATCTTTCATGCAGGAGTTTCAATGAAGTAACTTGACTACTAAAGAAAATGCTGAGGAAATAATAGAAGTTGGGATCCACTCCCAGGCCTCTTCATCTCCAAGTTCCATGAGCAAAAAAGATATTTGTTCAAACAAATACACTAATAACTCTCTTGTCATGAGGATAACCTCATGAAATACTCACAGGTTCCTATGGAAAAACTCCTCCCAAGATACTCTTCCATCAGATGATGATAGAATATACCATCAATTCTACCCATTCTGAACTACAAGGAATCATTTGATCAAATCACTTGATATTTTTTTTAAATCAGCCAACCCTGCAGCAGGGTGTTGAATTTCTCCTCTGTATTGCAGAGTTTATTGGCCAATATGAGCTCATATATATACTCACCTGGTTGCACTGTAACGAGAGAAGAAGTTCTGCATCTTTTCCTCCATTCTTTGAATCACAATTTGCATTTGATCTTTCTCCTGTTTCAGGGAATCTAAGAGTGAAAGAGAAGAGAAACATAAAACCAGATACATCCAGATTAAGCCTTTGAAGGTGGAGGGGACTTCATGTTTTCAACCTTCTCGAGATTCCAGCCGAGAGATGGTACTCTCCAAATCTTGCCGAGTGACTTGTGCTTTCTCTGCCTCCTGTTCAAATTTCTGTTTGTCAGCACTCAAGGACTGGACTATTGCTTCCTTTTCTGCCATTGTATCCTTCAACTCCTCCTTAATCTTTCTCAATTCAGCCTCCAGCTTTCTAGAGCTCTTCTGAAGGTCCTGAATTCAGGAAAAGAATACCATTAGATAAAGAGCCTCTCGAGGTATTTGGTAGCTAGGTCTCACTGTGAAACTGACCTCAATGCGAGCATCTTTCTCCACCATGACTTTTTCTTGGAAGCTCAAGCCCTGCTTAACCTTTTCCAGCTCATTGGATAAAGCATTATTTTCACAATCAAGGGAATATATCTGTTCAACCAGCTTCTCCACCTCAGCTCTCCAATCATCAGGAATCACAGATCTCACAGAGGTAGCAGCATGTTTTTCTAAATCAACCACCTGCATCACATCCATCAAGAAGAAAAGGCAAAGAAGTTTCACCAATACAATTCCATGCAAGACATGACCATATTAACCACATGCATGTCTCACCTTTGTCTCACATGATTCAACCTTCTGAACTTGTTCTTCAATTGTTTTCTGCAACTGTGAACGTATGGAAAATTGTGCTTCACATTGGCTGCTGAGGTCCATCATCTTTGAAATAGCTCGGTCTAGGCGGGAATCCAAGCTCGACTTGGATGGACTTGATAAGCTCCTTCTCCTCTTCTGTTAACAACAGCAATGAAAAATCTTAAGAATGAAAAAAATATTCAAGTCAGAAAATCACCTGGGTCAAAGTAGCTACCTGGCTTTGATCACATTCCAGGGCATGAATTTGAGCCTGCAACTGGAGCTTTTCTTCTTGGAGATGTTTGATTATGTCCTGAAATTGAAGCATCTCTTCTGAAGAAGCTTTTGCATGATTCCTCAGGCGGTCACATTCTTTGCTGGCCTCCTAGCATATAAAGCAGAGTCCAAATTAGTAACAAAATATAGCATAAAAACTAAGCTTTGAAATGCTTTATACTTCAGAAGGGTTACCTCAAGATTCTTGACCAAGTTTTCCACACGCTGTTCTTCTTCTCTCTTGAATTTCTTCTTGATGTCATCCAAAAGCTTCATGGCTCGCTTCTCAATGCACATCTGCTCTGCCTTCTCCCTCTCCAGCTCATTTGTGAGGCGCTGGTTAGAGATCCATCACATGCACTAATTAAAAATGTTTAAAAAATACAAATATGAGAAAGTGCTGAAATGCCTACCTGAACCTCAGTTTTCAGGTTGTCACATTCCTTTTTGCAGTATTCAAAATTGTCCAAGGTAACATCTGCTGTTACTTCAGCCTTTTTCAGGTTTGCAAGCAAGTCCTCATTTTCCTTCATTCTGAAAGCATGAAATGGGACAATTTTTTTTTTAGAAAAGGACTTATTAAATGTAGTACTAATTCATCTTAAACTTCACCTGGTATAAAGAATCACAGTACATGTACACAGTATAAAAAATGCAAAGCAAACACACCTGGCCTCTTTGGCTTTCTCAGCCTTAGAAAGCTTAAGTTTTAATTCCTGGATTTCTCGTTCATATGCCTTCTCATCAAAAACAGCTGAAGCATTCACCGCTATGCTGCTGGCTCGTCGCTCTTGGCTACAGGGAGACCAGAGATTAGATGAGATGAACAAACAACTGGCACTCTCCAAATTGATCTTTACACCACTCACCGCAAGCTGTTACAGGGAAGGCGAGTGAAAGAGAATCCAACAAATGGCAGTTCTCGTGTCAGTGACAGGTTAGAGTTGCCAAGTGGACCTTTCTGAATTTCAGATCGAGGAAGGTTTTTCAGGACCACCTCATCAAAATTGGATGTATCATCTTGGCCAAGAACGACTGGGATACATGGAGCCAGACCTGGAACAGCAAAACAGTAAAATATATGAGAATCTTCAACAGTAGAGGAGCTAAATAATGGAAAACAAGGTCCATCAGCACACCATAGCGGAGGTTCTTCCAGTCAAGCTGATGGAAAAAGGGATGAACGACAAGAGCATCATAGTTTAGTCGATTCGACACCTCTGACAGGAGCCCTTTGATCAAGCCCCGAGATGTGTTGGATATCTGGATGGAATCCTTCTCTCCAGGGAACCTCAGACGTTCCTGGATATGATAGAATTCATACTCTATTGTTCATCCAATCTTCATCATTTAGAAGTGTTCTGGATCTTTTATTCCAAATGTAAAAAAAAACCTGCCAGCTTGGACATCATCATAGTGGCACTAATTTAAAGCACCTAAGCTGGATACTATTCATTTTTCAATATAAGATGAGGAAATGTATTAAAATCTAAAGAATTTTTCTGAGCTAAGCTTGCTGTTGAAGGTGCCATTCTATTACCATCTTAGCACCTTCCTGAGTTCCAAGAGTCCCTTCAAACAAAGCAAGGGTTTTAAGAAATTTATGAAACCAATACCTATTACTTTACACCTTTCCTCTCAGTGCTAAAGATTACTGCTTTCAGGAAGCTTAAGGTAATTTGATATGGATGTATCAGTGACAATCTTCAATTATTTGAATTTTCTCCTATTTTTTTGGCACATAATGTAGAACAAATAAGAATTGCAGGAGGTACAAAAGGTAGCTTTAAGGCAACTCCAAAGTACAGTGCAAAGCTCCTGCAGTATAATGTTCTTGTGTGAATTACTCCTCCATCAAACTGTTTCCGAGGATAAAAAGTAAAGGTTGATATAGAAGGAACAGATATATTTGCTCCTCCTTTTGTATACCTGAAAGAATGGATAGAGTTAAAAAAAAACAAGAGTTTCTGAACTCTGTAAACTTTGGAGTTTCTTCCATAAAAAACATTGGCACCTTCATAAACCAAGGGCCCCAGATCTCTTCATGATGGACAGTGGCCATGTGACTACAGTCAGAAGTCACAGAACTTTTGAGTAGTACTTTGGCAGGCCGAGTGTAGATATCACTGTCACTGGAGAGTGATTTCACTTCAATTCCTCACTTATCAAAATACAATCACAATCTGAATATGAATTCCATGGCAAAAGGATATTAGCTAATTTTATGGTGCAAATTACTGAAACTTGCTTCCCATATTTCACAGTATTAAGACCAAAGGAACAGTCATGAGTCTCCATTTTTCATTATGAGGTATATTGAACCAGAATACATTTTTATATAACTGATCCTTTAACACGTTGCCTTAGACTTACAGTACTTTTCCATAAGTATAGTCCAATGAACACTACAAATGTAAACTAAAGAAATGCTTCCATTTAAGTTGGAAGATTGGTACTTATTCAAAATAATACTTCAATCTTACAAGAAAAGATTTTGTTCAACACCTTTCAAACTACAAGTGCAAAAATATTTTACAGAAAGCAACATATAAGTTTCACAAAATTTCTAAGCAAATGGTTTATCAGTAAGTTTATCACAAGAAAATAAATAAATAGTTCAAGAAAAGCTCACTTTGAAATTCATGATGTTGGCATAGGTCCTTGAAGAGTTGTCTGCTTCAAAGGGGTGTTTGTTGGTAAGCAATTCATATGCAATGACTCCAACTGACCAGTAATCCACTTCTCTCTATTGTGAACAAAATAACATGAATACATAATACATTTTCCAGACTATTGTGCTCCATGGGATTTATTTTTCTTAACATAACTCCTTTTAGTGACTTACACCACAACGTAGTGAACAAGAATCTCGGGTTGTGAGGTCGTTAATACTCTCAAGAACCTCTGGAGCAAGATAGCCAGGAGTTCCAATGGGAAACTGGGTTGTCACAAAGCCATCTTTATCCATCAGTCCCGCAGATCCAAAATCAACCAGCTTCAAATGTCCTGTTCGATCCACCAGGATATTCTCTGGCTTGAGGTCCCTATCAGAAGCAGCAAAAAATGAAGCACTCATGACATAGGTGTGAATGGGAGAAAAGCCAGAAAAAACAATTACCGATGGACATATCCCATATTGTGAAGGTCATTCACAGCACATATTATCTCTGCTATATATATGCGAGCCTTCTTTTCTGGAAAAGGTCCCTGGGTCTGCATCAAACTCAAAAAATCACCACCTGGATGATATTCCATGACCAGATGAAGCTTCTGATTATCATGAAAGGCATATTGAAGAGCAGTAAGCCAAGGGCTCTGGGATCGAGCCATTATGTCCCTCTCTTCTTCAAAGCAGCACAGGTTATTTTCAGGCAGAGCATCTTCCTTTAGGATGGTCTTCATGGCATAGACATGCCCTGTTGCCCTTTCCCGAACAACATGGATCTCACCAAAACGCCCCTTTCCAATAAGCTTCTTGATCTCAAAGTCACTTTTCTTCACACGAAGATGATCAATAGTAGGAGCCATAGAGGAGCCTAGAAAAAGTTGGAAAAACCATACACATTGTGTCAGAGGAAATATTCAAGTCCTAGCGATACAAAAAAGAAAGCAATCTAACTCACAACGTCGAATGAATGCTGCCACATTTGGATCTTTCTTCCTCTCCTGGGAATCTTTGTGGAGGAGAGTAATGGCATCAAGTAGACCTTCTCGCGAGAACACAGAAGAAGAGGTGACTTGTCCATTTGTGATGTGATACGAGGAACTTGGGCTGGTTGTCGTTTGTGAAAATGAGAGGCCTAATATGAGGCGATTCAATATTGTTGCTCGACCACTAATGTAGTCCCCAGATGGGTCAGATGCCTGTTTTGATGACATGCTGACCAACTGATTTACTAAACCATCAGCAACAGAAGAATGCATTCACTTCTTAAGGTAGGACCCTTTAAGAAGTGTTCAATGTTTCACCTGCTGGGGAGAAACTTTCAGTCACTTTCAATGCTATCCTACTAGACTAAGCAAGTTGCTTTTTTGCTGGATTTTTTTTTTAGGTTCAAATTTTTTTCACATATGTATGAAAGGTTTTATTTTCTTTCTATATAAAATACAAAGGCGAAGCTTACCTTGCATTATGTAAATTGAGGACTATTGGAAAAGCTTTAAATTTGGCTTCTTGATAATTATTGCAGTACAAGAGGCCTAGATACCCAAAGCAGAAAGGAGGAGACCACTGCATGTAAGAGGAATATTAATGAGGGCAAGACATACAACGCCCAGGGCTATGTGAATGCATTTGCCAAGCTCAAATCGAAAAGCTTGTGAACTGGTAGCCACAGCTGTCAAGCTGTCCATAAGCTATAAACTATGTAAATGGTATTTACTAAACAAAGACAAAAAAAAATACTTCTACTTCCTTCCTAATTAGCAGTATGAGTTCAATGGCACAATGCTGTCTCTTCATACATTGGGGAAAAACTACATGAATCAAGATATGAATCATGTCAACTCAGGAGTAAGTGAAAGGATACCATTCATGGCTTTAGACTATGCAGTTCTATCTGCTGAGAAATTTAACATAGCCATAGTAAACCTAACTCAGCTGAATACGTTTACACCTTATCCAGTGTCCCCCAGTAGTTTATCATCATGTCAACTGACATTATCTATACAAATACTTTACCAAGAAAGCCATAAGAATATCAGGCAATTTTTTTCAAGACCATGTGCATCTGTGATATACTCATATTGGGAACTAAGATGGAAGACTCTTTCCGTCCTGTTTTTGAAAAATAAATACCTATTTTAATGGGAAAGGTACTTAGTTTATGGGTTCATCCAGAGGTGCAACAATGGTCTTGATCCTTACATTTTATCAATATGTTCAGTCACAGTGGCTGACTATACTGTCAACCAACCAAATACCACCAGTAGTGGAAGTCATAAAACAGCAGATTTTCTCATCCCAGGCCTACTCACCTACAAGAATAGTAGCTGTGGCTCCCTGAGTGCTTGCAGAAAAAAGCATAGGCCTATGCTTGGGAACAACACAGGATAAATATTGAAATGACAAAGGTACACATAGGTATTAAATGTCCAGTTGTAGAATGAACACTGTAAGGGTTCATATAACCAGGAAGCAAGCAGCCGCAACCAAATACGGGCCACCAGCCAAGCATTGGTTAAAGTCGCCAAGCCAGCCTGGCCAACACTCCAGCACTGGTCCAGGGCGTAATATTTGCCAATAATGCAGTGGATGCAAATTGCGCCCAATAGGGCTTAAGATCCTACAGGTTCTTATGGAGAAATTGAACCAATCATCATAAGCTTTCCAAACGAAGTCGGCAGCCTGCCTGACGGAAGGCCAAGACCGTTATGCGTTATTGGTATGTATATATGTATAAGTATGCGTTATTCTAGAGGCCTACTCCTAACGTTAACTGAAAGTCAGACTTTAATCTGCTAACCAATTAAGCTTAGGCACATGATTGTTCAGGTAAAAGTTAACCAAGGCCTTGAGGGCAGACGAGGCAGGTCCAGGTCTACGCGGCTTGCCTGCCATTCAAGAATGAGGGTTCAGCTGGAGCAAAATTGAATGAGCATTCGGAGTCGGCGGGCGGGAAGGTCGGCAACGGAAACGCCTTCGTGGCAGTGATGCCAAGTCAAATTTAAGTCCCTCAATTGCCTTCACTCTATTAATCTGGATGGACGGAGAAAAAACCTTTCCATATTGATTTCGAACGTTCATTATTTATATTCTTCTTCACTCTTCGCTCCGACAAAAACAGCTGCCAAAAGAGTTCATCCAAGTACTAACATGCAATGCATAAAAAAGTTATGCAGAGCATCCGGATTCCAACATGGAAACTTGCATTTGCTCGCGGATGTTGACGGTGACAGGGCATGATGCCGACTCGGCAGGATTCGCTCTACCTTATGACGAAAGCATCGCTATCTTGCGCTTAGTCATATGGGCAACATGTTGTAAAACCAGTCGTCGTATCATACCCCAACTTTGTAAGTTCGTCCCATCGTACGATCACGATCGTGCCAACACGATAACCCTACGTGTCGCCTGGACAGGGTCGCGTTAGCGCAATGACGTTTTTACTTTTGGTCGTTTCCATCGCTATGTCCGCATGTGTGACGTTCAGTGCGGCTAAGCTAGATCTAGTGTCTTAGCATTTGGTGTCTTTAGTGACCAACCAAGGTTATGGTGGGGGTCGTGAGTGGCAGCCCATGGCCCGGTTTTTATGCTTCAGTGATTCGAACGGTCTTCTCTTAAATGTGAGGTGACAGCCGTTCATCTCTGTGAATAAGTTTTCACATATTCCGTCAGTCATGGGCAAAATGGATTTGAAAGTAGCTCCTTGCATCAAGAATCATCTTTGTCGTCCACTCTGGATATTGGAAATTAAGAGAATCTGAGGAAAGCTCAGTGAACTCTCATGACCTACGAGTAAGGTTAGAATCGCTCAGTGAAGACTAGTTACCTGGTCCCAGTAGGTTAAACTAGTGAGGCAGCAAATGCAGGGTCTGGCTGATCATGACGATAAATGGAAATGTTGCTGGATGCATATGGAATTTCATTCCATGTAGTCAAAGATATGAATTTTCCAAAGGATTCAAAGCTGTAGCAGGAGAAATATCCTTCCAATTGAAGATAGGGAACCAATACTTTTTCATAGTTTGCAAGAAACATCTAGTTCAACAGCTTCAGGCCCTAAGGGTAAGTGAATTGGATATGGTATGCTCTCCACCAGGTGAATGCAGAGACAAGAGGCATCAATTGCTTTATATATTTGAAAGTGAGTATTGAGATTCAGAAGGGGTTAGAGAAGCAGGATTAACTTCAGATCAAGACAACTGAATAGAAAAATTAGACTGGAAGTACGTCTTATTAAGAAGTTTCTGATGACATTGAAGCATGAGCTATTATGCTCATGAAGTTCACTAATGTGTAGGTTAAACAATTAAGAGTCTAAAGTCAAGCTTTCAAAAGTCTTGAAAGACCATCAGTCTGAATATATTTTTGTAAGTAACTTTGAGTAAAAGCATCCAGGAAGGCTCAGCTTATTTAAACAGAGAACCCTAAATGCCATTGAAGTGACTATGGGATGAGGATGTAGTGAAGGCTTCTAATGAGGAATAAAGCCTCATCTTTCCATGGAATATATGTTAAAGTTGGAAGTTTGAAGGTTTGAGAATTATGGGACCAGAAAAATGCAGGTGTTATGAGCCAAGCGAATGTCTGTTTAACACTGTGCTCCTGAATTTGTTCTGGAACTATACAGATGTAGGTATGTAGCCTGTGCTATTTGTTTTTTTAGGCGTACTGAAATTCTTGATATGCCAATACGCATAAGTTCCCTTATTGAAAAAAGTGAAGGAATGGTCTGGTTCCTGAAGCCCTGGTTGAGTCTCTGATACAAATGCTATTAAGAGATAAATTTTTGCTCTAGGGTCAGTCAGAAGAAATTTGTTGCAAAATACACTCTGAAAATACTGGTTGTACTCGAATGGAACAATCACCAGATCGGAAACATTTATCACGTGTACGCGCTGCTAAGAGTCACTGCCTTGTTTTTATCTGCTTGATGAAGAGATTTACAGCCCTAAATTTGACACTGCTTTTTCGCTTTTCAAAGTTCATTAATGAGCATTCATGATCCCAGAACCAAAAGCAATTTCCTCGTAGATAAAATGAACCTAAATGTTAAAATTATTGTACACTCCCTATTGATGATTTGTGACTCCAAAAGGGGCAAGAAGTAAGCAATATGAATGACATCAGTCTAGCCATCATTCATCCTAACGGATGCCATGTGAAGTGGTTTTCAGAAATTACGTTTTGAGCTAGGTGCTAAGTTTTCACCGGACTGGACTAACTTTGTGTGCAGATAGCCACAGCGGTATTTATGTGGTTACTCCACGTGGCAGAAGGATTCATGCATCGTAGAATCCCCATTTCCTATCCGTTAGACCCGTTGAGCCGAGCGGGGCAACCGTGACGTCATTCTAGGCCCGGTTTAACAGACAAAGGAATTGACCTGTACCGATACCTTCACCCCTCCCCGCCCCGATGAGCTCGCCGTCCTCAAGTACTTTCCCGTGCCCACTGCACACTGCAGTCCCCTCGCTTAACACGTGGAATTCCATTTCATTGGCGCGATGGGGACCCCCAGTATCGATCGGCGGCGCGTGTTAACACGTGGATCCAGGATCGGCCCCCCCCCCCCGCTCGGGGAACCGAGCCCCCCCCCCCCCCCCCCCCCCCCCTCACCTCTCCCCCTCTCAGAGGAAGTCAGGAAATGTAATTCGCGGACACGTGTGGCTTAGCGAGTGGCAGCAGGGAGGGCACCGCGGCGTGTAGGGCGTGTGCGGGAAAAATCCACAAGATAATCGGGGTTTTAGCTAAGTATTCTAATTGATGAGGGATTCACTCTCCAGGCATGCACCTTCCTTTGGTCCCGTCCGGGTTGAAGGAATTGAAACGTAGAAAGTCCGTTGAGGCTTATTTTTATGGAGGAAATGTCACGTCTGGGGTGATTAATTTTTTTCAGAACCGGATTTTAACATTTAAATTGAAATATCGATTTCCTTGTCAAAATATTTTCCCCATCGACTTCGTTCGTGCTCTCAAGGCGCTATGCATCGACGCGTCCGTACCCCCTCCTTTCCTGGGAACACGATGCAAATCACGGTGTTCAGGGGAGGGCCTCACAAAATTAGCTGCCGGTTCAAGAGTCGTGTGTTTCTTGGAGGCGGGAAACTGTAAAGGGGAAATAACGAAGGAAAAGGGGGTCACAGGGTCTTGGCAGGCAACAACCCCGTCCGCTTTTTTTTTTCCCTTTTTTTCTCTCCTTTTTTTCTGTTGCTCCCACACCTGATCATCGGTATTTTTTTCATGTCTCCCTGCCGCGACGACCGGCAGTCTTCCGAGTCTCTTTCCCTCCTTGCTCCGTCGGTTCCCATCGCAGCCTTCCCAAGAAATCGGCGAAAAAAAGAACGAAAAAGAAGACGTCCTCGACGGAGCATAGCTCATCGCACAGACGAATCTACAGTTCGCCTCATGCACATCGGCAGGCGGGCCGAATGGAATGGAAATTCCTGGAATCGTTGGAGAGAGGAGAGCGAGGACTTCCTTCGTCGAGAGAGCTTAGAGGTGCTCAGGACCTCGTGGCTCGAGTACGTGAACGATCGGAAGTACTCCCCATACTCCATCCATTCCCTTCGTATCTGGAGATGATGCCAGCGTTCCCGCTCGCTCCTTCCTGAGGTTTCTCTCTCCTCCCATGGAGGCAGATGCTCGGGGTGTCCCGCTCCCTCGTCCGTCACCCTCGGATGATTCGCGAGCCGTTTTTCACTCGTGAACCGCCCGGCCTTTAAATCACGTCGGTTGAGGATGTGCCAAGAGGGGAAAAGATGGCTTTCGCGGGATGAGTTTACCGTTTGGGTGGGGAATTTTATTTTTTTTTTACGGGGCGGAAATTGAAGTTCCGGGATCGTAAACGGGCAGCTCACCCTGCCTGTCACGAGGGCATTATATAGGGCTTGGGAAAGTATTCGAGGGAAGTTCGAGTAAAAAAAATGTTACAAAGGTCGTTCGGGCCCTCCAGACACGTGTTTACAGGCCAGCGATACAATACGAGGAGATACTTACGGCCTCCTACTTGAAATCAGGTTTCGAAGCCCGAATATGCGCAGCTCGTTACTGCGCAGTTCCGTGATTGAAACGCATGCGAGCCCACATGTGATGCAATCGGAGCAGGAAAGTGGCTCGCCTGGCCACGAGTTCGGCTCCTTTGGCAGGGGACCCAGGTTCGAACCCGTCGAGGCCCGCCGTGAGCGCTTCTCCCTTCTCGGCATGTGGAGCGTTGAATATCTCCGACAATAAAGGACGAAGCTGGGTGGCGTATCCCCGGAGTAATCTCTGAGCCAAATCGAATCTGACAGTTACTCGTGTTGGCTGGCGTAGAAGGGGGGGGCGGAAAAGCGGGTGTTCCTCGTGCACCCGGTTCATAAATGACGTTCAAGTTAAGCATGAATGCGAGCACGAGGTCATGTAGCCATAGGGAACTTAGTTTGTCGTGATTGAAGGTTGACTCCAATGTTCACTCCGAATTTGGCACCGAATTCCTTAAGAGAGAGAACTTTCTGAATGCACCAAATACAGCTATCATTTTCTTCCAGTGTTCTCAGGCTTATGACCAAACTGTTGCTTGTTTCACACTCATCCAATTTGTTCATCCAAACTGATTACTAGATTTTTTAGCCTCAGCACCTCAAGTGTATGAGCAAAAGCGAACACAGCTTCATTTTGCATGGAATATATAACAAATATACTCTATTTATATGCCTTTTGACGAGGACAAAGAAACTGGTGTGGTACCTCTTGAATTAAGATGTTTGATGTTTCTACTAAAAAGTGAAGATAGGTTTTGTGAGGAGGACTTAGATGACTTTTTCAGGTGAAAGGTTCTTGCAGAATGGCCCTTGTGAATGTATCCAAAAATGTGATGTATATAAGAATATAATGCATCATGGTTTCTTTTAGGAATGCCACATATTGTGGCTTCCATTGCAGCTTGCAAATATCCATTGGCTTTTTGGCATTGATTTTCAGTTCTGTCCCTCTATGCTGCATGTCATGCAGTGCGGTTTATTTATACAGCAATAAACAGTGGATACATTCAGAAGGTTTAGGATCCAGTGTGTAGGCCTAATTTTTCCCTGTCTTTGCTAAGAATGGAAAGATCATCGTGCAGCTCTTCCGATCGTTCCACTCCCGCAGTTCATTCTCTCCCGCAAAGGTTCGTGCTTGTGTATGCATCTGCAAAAGAGAGTTTGAAATCATGTGTGCCTAATGTCCAGCATGGGTCACAAGAATAGAGTGCGAAAAGACTTGACAAATGTGGGTGCTTATGATGATTTGAACAAAGAAGATCTCCGTGAGATTCTGAAGCGGAGAGGACTCCAGACAACTGGCAAGAAGCAAGTTCTTGTGAGTTTTTATTCTGTTTTCTATTTCTCATTGGAAGCTTGCATGTATATCATTGATCATCAAGTGTGTTCTTAGCTTGTTTTTAAGTGCATGTTATGCTATAACCTTTTCAAAGCCAATCCTTCCAATATTTCCTGGTTCCCCATGAGTTATCAGCTCAGGCCAATAAAAATGCAAAGGAAGAGTCTGTGCAGTAAGAGTGTATTTGCTCCTGTAAAAGTATGATTATTGTTTATTATGGCAAGTCACTGAGTCAGATCAACTATTTCTTATACACTTATCATAAATATTCTCTTTGCTAGATTGCAAAATGTGACTTCGTCTTATTAAAGTCCATCATCATGGATGCTGTCAGTCAGTTCATGGAGGAGTGCTCTTGTCTCATATTTTATCAATACTTTTTTTCAGATTTTGATTTTTAGTTTCATGTTTTTCAAGAAAAATTTTGTAGTCCTGTTATAGATGTGATTATCATTTCTGAGAAACACAGGACTTTTGGAAGGGACTTGAGTCACTCTGTACCTAGTTGAAAATGATGGAATTTATCTTGGATATGTATCAAATAGTGAGTTCTTGGATTAGCCAAATGGAACCTACTAGTCAAATTTGAAATATGAACAAGAATCTTCTCAGTCAGCTCTGAGTTATTTTGCCAATTTTTTTGGCATGAGGTGCTCCCAAAGTCATCTTCCTTCTGGATGCCTTCTACACATGCTTCATGTTGCACTGGTCTGTGAAAACCAGGAGGAAGTGCTTTGCCAAGATGCTAACCTTTTGCTCCTTCCCCATCTAATGAGATGCTAGACCAAAATCAATGCATGAGCTGTTGTATTATTGATGCATTATTTCTGGTCTGGGGGGAAGGGCTGTAGGTATTGCTCAACCATTGAAATTTCAGCCATACTTGATCTTTGAGACCTGATTGCTAGATAATGTCCTATGCTTTGTGAATTTTTTTTTTTGTTGTGGTATTGTGAGGCACAAGTAAGGCTCTCAGATGAAGGAGAACCATGTCTCAAGGGCAGGAGAAACATGATTGCACATCTCCTGCCTCAAGAGTGCACATGTGTCTCGAGCCTCCCCCTAATCTTGCCTTTTGACCCTCCAGCCATTATCTCACTTGTCCCTAACAAAAGATAAGGAAACATGAAGAGTACACTTCAGATGTAGGTGCAGTTTAATATGTGTCAGGGTAGCATTTAATGTGGATCATGGCTCAAAGTGATAGGGCTGTTTTCATCAGTATACCTGATTCTACACAGAGAGATGAGGTGGGTTATAACAAGGCTCATGGAATGGAAAGGTCAGAGAGAAAATGATTCCATGCATTTTGCCCTCACCTTTATACCCTTCATGCTACTTCTTGCTGTTGACCTTTGGTTCCACTATTTCATACATGCTAATGTATTCCAGAGCCCTTTGTTAACTTTTCATGTCTGGTTTTTATCATTTTATAAACCAAGGAATTCACTTGGAGTAAGCAGTAAGAACAAAGCACTGCTTCAAAATGTAGAACTGTTTTTATTTCTATAGTTGTATTACAGAATAATTTCATTTTATCCATCAGTTGGAAAGTATGGTGCCATGTAGTTGTGCCTATTACATGCTTCTTGAAGGAAAAAAGGGAAACAGTGTTTCTTCTCTGAAGTAATGCTAAAGATATTGATAGTTCTATGAAATGACGTGCACCGTGCAGCTGACACTGATTTTTACCTCATAAGCCTACTTCTACTCTGGAAGTGGAATTAATACTGTATATGGTAACATTTAACACATTCACCTCAGATGATGATAAGATTCTCACCAGGGGTGGAAGTGGCATTTGTATGTCTGCCATAACTATCAAGGCTTTTTGTGTATTGTGATAGAGTATAGACAAAATATATCCCCATACTTCTGCCATGCTTTAAGTGGGTCATGATCAATCACTTCATGTCCAAGGTTATAGAGTGAAAGTTCACAGAAATAGAACCTGTAAAAAGTAATGCTACACTTGACACAATCAGTGTCATCCATCTATGATTGGCACAGTGCATCATGATGCATATTGCATCATCTGGGGTGAACGTGTTAAGAATAGAGGTAAAGTGCATCTTGTGAATGAACTTTCTTTTTTTTCTTTACGTTGTCTTCTAGTTAATTTGAGTTGCTTTGTTTCCTTCTGGTTGTCCATAGGTGAGTGCCTAGAAAGCAGACAACTTGCAGCTCCTGGTCCCTGTGTTTTATACTTCAGTTTTCTACCCCATTTTTGTTTAGTTACTCATTCAGGTAATGCAGCCTTCTTTTCTGTTTTTGGTTGTACCTATATAAACCACATCCTGCATGAAACTTCATAGTTTCCTTACCCACTCCCTGTTTTATTACCGCCTTAGTCTTGGCTTGCTTGAAATTTGGCTTACTTTGGTTTCTGAGATTCTTTCTTTATTGATTAGGTGAAGCGACTGGAACGATTCGATCGTGACCAGTACTGCCAGGTAGGTGTATCCAGTCACTTGAACAGCAGTACAGGAAGTGGCAGGATGGCTTCAAACGGAATGACCCACTCACCATCCATTATGGTCCTCAACATTCGCCAGAAGCTTCGAAAGGAGCGGGAATCCATCGTCCTCTGGCGTCATCCTCTCACCACCCTCTACTATTTCTTCATGGAACTTCAAATTGAAGCATTCAAGTTGGCCACCAGGTTACCTTCCTCATGTTGTTGATGCATCCCATGGTGTCCAACCTGTCATTGTGCCTCAGATTTAGCATTGAGTATGCTCTCCTATTTCAGCCTCAGAAGGAACCTGTTAAAGGTCATCCTGTCCCTATGCATCCTGGTGGTCTGCCTCCTTATGTATCACATGGAAGGCCCTCATCAGCGAGTAAGCTTGTGGTTCTGTAGTTGTGAACCAAATCTCAAATTCATATGATGTCTTCTTAATTTATACTTTTGCTGCAGTTGTTCAAGGCAGTTGAAAAGAAACTGCTATGGTCCCTTTATTGGGTGGGGCTGGGGATCCTGTCATCAGTTGGACTGGGAACAGGCTTGCACACGTTTGTCTTGTACCTGGGACCTCACATAGCAGCAGTGACAATGGCTGCTGATGAGTGCCACAGCCTCAGGTTTCCTGAACCTCCCTACCCTGATGAAATCCAGTGTCCTGATGAAGGGGATGCCATGGATTTTGGTAGCACTGTGACCATTTGGGCCATCATGAGCAAAGTCAGGCTAGAGTCCTTCATGTGGGGAGCTGGTGAGATCATTATGATATCCAAGATATTAGATTGAAGGAGTTTGGTGACTGTAATTTGACTGTTATGTTTTACGATAATTATGGTTTTGTCGTCGCAGGTACTGCCTTGGGGGAGCTGCCTCCATATTTCATGGCTCGAGCAGCTCGACTTTCAGGCACACATCCAGACGATGAGGATTATGAAGAATTTGAGGACCTTCAAGTAAAGCTAAAGCATCCTGAAGAAATGGTTTGTTTTGTTCATCAATGTGGTCAATCCAGATGGAATGAAAAGCTTGAAGAAATCATCTTCTTTCCATAGTCATATGCAGACAAGGCAAAGCTGGCTATAGAACGACTTGTGGAACGTGTGGGGTTCTTTGGCATCTTGGCCTGTGCCTCTGTGAGCAGTGTTTGAATCCTCTTTTTTTTATCCCTCTTGAATTCATAGAGTTGTGATTGTGAAAGGTTTTTCTGGTTTTTAGATCCCGAATCCCCTGTTCGATTTGGCTGGGATCACATGTGGGCACTTTTTGGTCCCATTCTGGACATTCTTTGGTGCCACTCTGATTGGGAAAGCGGTGATAAAGATGCACATACAGAAACTGTTTGTGATCATCGCCTTTAATGAAGCCCATGTTGAAATGGCTGTACACTCACTCAGGTGAATGAGTAAAGTTGCTTGATATTGACATTGTTTAAAAAACTTTAGAAAGGATCTTTTCAGAAATAACTATGTTGGTCATCACAGGGGCATTTGTTTTCTGTTTTGTCCAACTGGAATTTTAAAATAGATGCTAAAAATCAGGAAATTCATATTTCTCATGAAAAGTAGAAAATTGCATTTTTTCCTTGCAAAATATGAAAATTTGGAATTCTTTTGCATATGCTATTATAACCTGCCTTTTCTGAAATTTTTTTCCAGAGATTTCTCATTCAAAACCTGGTTGAGCATTCTTACATTCTGATTGGATTACCTTATTTGCTTAATAAGCATATGAGATCTTGCTTCCTTCCCTCACCCCTGCTATACAAGACTATCCCATGCAAGCATCCACTCTTTTTTTTACCTTTCCAATCTTGGGAAACTGATTTTCTTTTGAAAGCCAAGAAATCACTGAATATCATAATGATGATCCTGAAAGCTGAAACTTGCATGGAAATAGGTGGAAGATGATTGGTATTAATCATCATCATCTTGGAGCATCCTTACCCTTGTGCATTGCATATACCACTCCTAAGAAATATGTGTGGCACACCTTGGAGTGTACATGTAGATGATGGGACTTGTTTTTCTTCAAAGTATATGTTGTGAAAAAATCAGTAAAGAGAAAGTATAATAAAAAAATGCATGGTCTTTCCAGGTACATTCCATGGATTGGTGAAAAGCTTCAAGCCCCATTTAAAGACTTTTTGGATTTGCAAAAACAGAAGTTTCATCGAGCAGCCCATGCAGAAAAAATCCATCAGGTGAGCAACTTTGTGCAAATGAAAAGGGGAAAGAAAAAGAGAAAACAATGCATAGCTTTGATTTCCTTGCTGATGCTGAGGCACAATGTGCTTCCTTTTTACAGGCTTGGTTTCTCAAAGCAAGGACATCATCCTCTATTTCCTTTGCAAACGATGTATGTGAATTCAGGCCCAATCTGTTTGTAGCACGCTTGCTCTCCACGCTTGTGCTCCCCATCAAAAGCCCCTTACAAATTGTCTTTGCTGCAGCTGTTGAAAATATTCTTTTTTACTACCGACTAGTTTCTTGACAATGCTGCATAATTTTGAGTATGAATACAAGTGAAGAGGCTTTTGAAACCTTGGTGATTGGGTCTTGATCTTGCACCTGCCACATTATGACAAGAATATGTACATCCCTAAGCTAGATATTTTTCTTTTGAAATGTGAAACCTTGGGAGTTTTGCCCACTTGGTTGTGTTGGATCTGGTAGCAGCTTTTCTGAGGTGGCATGTAGGTTGGAGGGTATTATCAGCTTTTTTTTTCCCTATGCCTAGATGTGGAACCCTTAGTAACTAGAAAACTTTCCCCCTAATGAGGATGAGAATGAACCTGTTAATTAGTTTCATAGTGCATTTTCTACTTCCAATTGAGAGAAAATGCCAACTGCTTGCTATCTTGAGGCTGAAACACAGCGTATTCTTCAGTAAGTTATGCCGCTGAGCACATTCATTTGCCACTTGAGCCAGAGTATCAGGTTTGACTCCCACAGCACTTGTGATTGGGTATGTGAAGATGCTGACCATGTTAGTCATGAAAGCCCCTTACTGGCTAGAAATCTAGTTTTCATTCCTATGAACAATGTGACAGCAGTTGCATCTTGCTATACACCTCCTCTCATGATATTCTGGCATCTAAATTAAGGAATTAATAGTTATGAATTAATACAGGGATTGCCATCCACATGGATGAATATTGATGAAGTGTCAGTGTGTCACCCTAGTTTAGAGTTAATATGCACTCCACCTTTCTGTCTGAATAATGGACCAAGCAATTGAGTGGAGGAATAATATGATCAGTGAAGTCCACTGAAGACCCATGCATTTACTATGTGCACTCATTTTGCCCATTTTGCACTCATTTTGCCTACATGCCTGTCACTTGCAAGACTGGATTGGCACAAAGAATGACTTGTGAGATGTTGTAGTTGATTTGGATACAGCTAGATCAGATCTCCTATTGGCTTTGAATAGCCCACTTCCAAGACTGCTGACACCCAGGGCATCAGTCCATGCTTTTAAAGGATCATACTATTCCTATATTAGTATATGTGAAGGCCATTCCATCGAGCTCAAGAAGTATACATCTTATGAAAGAATCTTGGCTCTGGAAGGTAAATGGTAGGCAGCAGCATAATTCCTTAATGCATTGAGCTTTAGATATGCAATTAGAAGCTTTACAGAAACCAGTGTAGGTTGTGGATTTATGTTGTATTCTTCAAGATCCAAACAGCTGTGCTTGAATAGTCAGCCTTTCTCATCACAAGCCTGACAACTTTCCAATCAATTTGGTTGAGTTTGGTTTGAACTGGTTTTGTCATCATTTCTCAGAATCTTTGTCAGTATTCCTCTTGATGCACTGGAATTCTGCCATGCCATAATGCACCATTTGAATGAACAGCAGATGTTATGTTGTGATATGCAGCATCCTCTATGGAATGTGAGGAACTCTGGTCTACCCTTGAAACCCAGTTAGCCTGTTGGCTCTTTTACTTTTTTTTAAGTATATATTTATCCCCTTTGCATGTCTGTTAGATTCCTACTGGCCAATGTTCCCATTTCTTCGGCATGCAAAGGTAGCCAGTACACCTTATGGTACACCAACTGCTTTTAGCCCCTCACATCCCTCAAATTAAATTTAAAGAAACACAATGGGGAAATATATTGAGCACAATACCCCACATTTTTGTGTTTTGCCCTTTCATTAACCCCATGCCAACCTAGGCATGGGTGTCGAAAATAATTTTATTATTATTTTGCTGCATATTTCACCTATGAAGTCATTAGTGAGACACTTCTGAAGTTGCATATCCACCTGGACCAGTGGTTCTCAATCTTTCTCAACTTGCAGACCCCTTTTAGAATCAAAGAGGACTGGGTGGACTGCTTGCACAATCATATCAATTTTTAAGCTGCTAAAATTATTGCTTGAGATTGTGAAGGCATTATTTTAATGTTTGGTTGAAGGAGACACTTTTTTATTTCAATATTTTGATTTTTCCTTTATTTATTCATAAATAGAGGTTTCATAGATGGAACCTCTTGGGGTTCGTGATGAAGTTCATGAAAAATATCAACCTAAAGGTTCTCTCAATGGTAACTGTGGCAAGTAGTTGTATAATTCCAGTCCATATTGTCATGAAAGAAAATGTTGAAATTAGAGGTTGCTTGACAATTGAGTTCAGTATGAACATATTGTTTGAGACGAACCTCAATAAATGGACATAAATTAATTATTGCATGAAAAGTTGAATAATTTCTGTACCTTTGTAATCTCCACCTCTCTTTTGGCTTGATAATCCTCCTGTGGATGTCTCTCAGTCCTATTGTGGCTCTTGAATGTCCACTGTGGTTCAGATCCAAAATGATTGCACATCTCTCCTCAAGGAGGACTCCACTAGTCAAATAATGTGAATGTAGCAGCATCCTGGACATTGTTACATTTTTGAGCTTCTCTGGAAATGTGACTTGAAGTTGAACCTGTCTCCTACTAATGCTTTTGGTACATGATGGAACAGTGTTACCATGAGTGTTCACTGCTGACCTGCTCTATGTAAATATGCTTTCCCCTTTGCGAAGGATACCCCAGCTCCTTTTTATTTTTATTTTGTTGGTCAGGAAATCAAATATGACTTAGTTATAACTTTCAGTTCATTCTCATACTAAGGCTTTTTCATTTCTCTGGAAGGGATACTTTCACTGTATGAGACTAGAGTAGAACTTATATCGAGGAAGAGGGTTTCAAATCTCCAGACAATTCATAGAGGAAAGCTAAAAAAAAAAAAACAGGAAGTGAAAAACATTTCCAGTGCTACAGCTATACTAACCAATACTGTTGCAATATGTCTTTAATTTCCAAGTTATTGTGCCTGGTGACATTGCCTGATGCTTTTATTTTCCAGGGAGGGAGTTGGTTGCAGTGGGTATTTGAGAAAGTTGTGATAGGCATGATCACCTACTTCCTTGTGTCAATAGTGAACTCCCTTGCTCAGCGCTATCACCGCCGCATGAATGACAAGTTCAGGCCCAAAGTACATAAACAGAAGTGACAACTAGTGCCAAGTTAGCATTCCTTCACCCATTCTCCTTCTCCACCTTCTGCCTCTTTGCCTTCTTAAATCTGTTGGAAGCAAAGCCATTCCAACACCACCTCGTGATACACATTATAATATATCTTTTAGTAATATTTATGACGTATTAGTTCTGGTGTGGAATATAAGAACCCTGTTGCCATGAACCCTACAAGCGTGAACTCCTCATTCTCAGTCGGCATCTTTTCGCTGAATCTCTCCCGTCTTTTTTTCATTGCTTTCAACTCGAGTGCATGTCATTGAAATATAGAATGTATAAGACTTCCAGGGATATCACACATATATATAGGCCCTGGTTTTCAATCATTCCCCGATTTTCCCCTCAGTGAGTCATTTAAAGACCATACATGCTGCAGCTTGCAGAAATCATGAATATAGGGATGTTTCATTTTTTGTGCTCACATGTCCTTTTATGACACAAGTGAGAAGTGCTTGCTCATGTATTTTTGAGTTGGATTTTTACTCTAAGTCTAATCAGTTATCTCTTTGCAGTTTTTTCATTCCCTGTATTTTCTATCATATCAGTGAATTTGTGTGCTTTTTGTAGCAGTGTTAGTCAAAAAGTAGTGGCATATTCTTGGATTGTTTGAAAAATGCCATAGGTTGCTGAATTGGTAAGACCCGGTGTATTTTGACCTCCCGCAATAAGGTGATTCTAGTCTCTGCAAATTACTGGTTCCCAAAAACAGTTACTGACAATAATAGATCAAAATGAAGTGCAGCAGAGAAGCAATCCACTCTTGAAACAAAGAAGCGATCTCCTGTATTTTAAATTGTAAGACCACTCTTTTTTTTGGTATATTGCAATCAATGCTGGTCCTCGTTTGTGCATGTCTTGTTGCATCAACAAGGATCTCGGTGGTTCCTTCTTTTCTACCCCTGGATTGTTTCAAGGTTTTTCCCTTTCCTATTTTGTGCATCTTTAATGGGTAGGTTCCCACAGCTGAACCTTGGAGTGAGATACATGAGGCAGGTCTTCGCCAGGAAGAGGAAATAATTAAATATTGTATTAGTAATATGTATGCCCTTAAAAGGATTCGCTTGGGTGTGATGTCTGCTGTTTCCTCAAAATTGCAAATTATTAAAGTTTAAATTTTGCAATGAATTCAGTGGGAAATGTGGCAGCATCCAACTGGACTGAGTTTCCTGCTTTCTCAAGGAGTCAGCAGAGAGAATGAATTATGTCTTTCTTGGCCCCACTGATATGTTGCCGATGAGAAAGGGAATTTTTTTTCTTTACCTTTTTCTGAAGCCTTTCACCCACTCTGTCTTGTGAATTCACTTCAGTCATTCCCCCTGTTGCCTGCGATCCACCTTTATTCCATTTCTCATGTTCTTGTCCGTCTTCCAAGCTGTATATGGAAGCCATGATAATGTCCAACCTAGATTGAGGTGATGTGAAGTCGTCTAAGAAAAATACGCACGAAAGAGTGTAATGTATCTGGTTACGCCATTCCACCTGATCCACCAATACGATAGTGTTTGTGCAAAAGGGTGAAAAAGTCTTGTTAGTGTTGTCAACGCCACATGTAATTTATTTCTGGTCTTAAAATCAGTGTTGTCCATCACACCAATAATGGGTTCATTGAAGTGCAGAATATCGCATCCCTGTTTCCTCGGGCATGATCGTAAGGTGGAATGTTTGACAGGAAATAGAGCTGGTCATGTTCCCAATACCACAGGATCTTTCATTCATCACAGTATCAACATGGTCAAGATTCAACAAGTCAGGTCAACCTGACGTAGATAGTAGAGAAACGGGATTCAAATATAAAACCGTGCACTTCGTGCACGAAGACATGGAAATGCCGAAAGTTGAGGAATTTCCTTTGCTGTAAGCAGACTGGAGCAGGAGACGGAATGAGAGAAAGAGAAAAGCAGAACTGAGGGAAGAGACATCTCGATCTCCCGGGCAAAAGTCCTGCCGAAGTGAAGAAATGGTAGAGCTGACCCATGGACACCTTTTTTTTTCGTCTTTGATGCCCATGTTCCGTGACTCTAAATCGTGCTGCTTAGCTTTAAAAATTTGCGAGCAACGTGAAGTTCTATGAGGCGGATGTCCCAAAATGAAAGAGGAAAGGGAAACGAGTGATCGTGAAAATGATGAACTGATAATGATCCCCTAGATCAGGGGTGCACAACTCAAAAGACTTCGCGACTTTTAATCACATACCGCGGACCGCAATCTGGCTGACCATAGCTGTAGCCAACAGGGCATGAGTCATACAGTGTTTTTCACTTGACTCAGACACGTGCATGGGACGTTCCTCATGCATGAGTGTCGAATTCAAGTGAAAAACACTAGTAGTACAACGCCACCAGTCATGGCGGGTGCCAGCAAGGACCTCGTGGGCCGTTTGTTGTGCACCCCTGCCTTAGATTAACGGTGATGGTTGAAGAAACCGTTGAATCCAACGGATGGAATAGGGCTTGCTCAGCATCTTCTAACGTCTGAAGAACATACGCAAAATAATTTATAAACACTCGAGACCAGTCATGACATCCCTCAACCCTTCTACTCGGTTCCTTTGTATATAAAAAAAAGACTCATCGCAGGGGTTACGGATGCGTCACTCGCAAGTGACGTAATCTCGAGGGGGATCCGGTGTCTCTCTGAGTTGTCTCAGGCGTGACTAGCTGTCACTCTTGACGCCCTCAGTGAACCCTCACTCGGAAGAAGCAAGAGGTTGAGAGCCCCTGTTCCATGCACAAGGTCACTGTAATCTCTCTGGGCTTTTGTCGGTAGACCTTTATGGCTTGTCCGTTGGACGCGATCGGAGTATCGTCATGTATTCGTATCAGCGCCGTATCGTTCGGATATCTCATTTTACGTGCTTATTTTTTTTTATTCCTTTATGTTGAAGTGTGGGAAAGCTTTTGCCCGGGAGTCGAGGATTCGATACATTTCTCAGTAGGGAATGGGGTCCCTGAGATGCGCCGTCTTCACGTAGCCGTAATCCAGGCACTTTCCCCACCAGGACCTCTTCCGGCATTGCCTCTCCGGCTTGAGGACGAAGCACTTAGTCTGGATCACGTTGAAGAACACCTTCCCCACCATGTTTGCCGCCCCCGTGTTTGTCATCTTCAGGCACGTCCGGAATCTAAATCCGCGAAAAAGTCTCGTTCAACTCAAAATTTAAATTAAATTATGACTGCAGTCGGGTCACAAAAATACGTCATCTCGAGGGAATTATCAACATGGAAATGTGCTAGAGGCTGGTATTCTAAAAAAAAAAAATTCAAATGTATTAAATGTGAACATTTTACAACCGAAGTAACCAGTGGCGAAGTTACTCTCTGTCATTACCTTTTAAGCAGCAATTAACTTAGTTTTCCGATTTCATTTTCTGGTGCCTGTAACTTCGTTTTTCGCATTTTTTCGCTTCGTCGAGTCCGTCCTTCAATTTGAAAAAGGGGTTTTATGATAAAAAAAAAAATGTATGTGACGATTGTTTGTGGAAAACAGCCGAACTCGGTCATAATGCTCTCGGTTACGAAGAGATTTCAGTCGTAGAGAAGTTACTTTTTGCTCCGCTGACAAAACTGACAATGCTGCGTAATTATCAATTCACCGTCATGCTTCTCAATAGCTGGAAATTTAATTGCTGCGCACAATTGGGGGGTCGCAACCTCTTTTTTTTTAATCTGCATTCCTGGAGGGTCTCGCGTGCGTGGAATGGACCAAGGAAGGATGCGTGAGGATGGCGGGAGGGGTAGTACCCAATCGCAATTAGATATGATCCACATCTTCAGTTTCTATTAGTAGTACTTGTTGACACCGGGGCATGTGAGAAGCGAAAGAGCCAAGCCTCCACGATGGACCAGAGAGTAAACATGATTCATCTGAAAGAAAATTCGAGAAGTAAAACATGCCGTGAGCCCGTACTACGAGCATCTTCCGCGATTTTGAAAGTGGAACCTCGCTTCTGACGAACCACGGTGATAGCGATAATTTTCTTTTAACCCTTCGATGACGTTCGACCCGGGTTCGACTGTATATATGTGGCACCTCGACCTTGTTGATTTCTATGGGGCTGTTGTTGGTTGCCCTATGCCAAGGTTGTTTTTCACACCAGGGTGACCCCACGGTGAAAATCAACACGTTTGTACGCACTCGTATACATATCGTTTCCTTGTCGAGGGTCGTTGCCGTCCGCTTGATGCGATATCGAGTATCTCAGCGGCAATATACCTAGTCCAACGCAAACATGTACAAAAAGCGTTGCTAAGCGTCCATCGATGCAGGCAATCCTTACCGCTCGCTTACCGCCCAGTCTGGGTCCGCCACGCCAACCGACAACATGTCGGTCAAAACTGGTTTTCCCAGTTCCAGAGACTGTACAAGATTAACAGCATTCGATATGGAAGTACTGGCGGGCACCGAAAAAAAAGATCCCGCGTATTTTCCAATTACACCTCATGCATCCATTATTACACGTACTTACGGATGACGTGCAATGACAACAGACTACTTTTTATTACTGGTTATTCCAACCCTGGCGATAGTAACAAGTTTCATTATGTGGAAAGCAACTAGTCAGTTTCTAGTAACTTCTCCACGCCTCACCTGCACCCCCCCCCCACCCTCCCTCAAACAGGGGTGCCACGCCCCACCTGCACCCCCCCCCCCCCCCCGCGCTCTCGGTCATACAAGAGTTTTAATTCATGAAGTTACTAGAAACTGACTAGTTGCTTTCCACATAATGAAACTTGTTACTATCGCCAGGGTTGGAATAACCAGTAATAAAAAGTAGTCTGTTCTCATCACCAGTCTATCCTATGGATATTTATGCTCTCAGAGTCGCAAGTTCTGAGCTCGCTCTGAGTTCTGCTCGTTAATTTTACCATTTGTCTTAACCAGTTGCATTCTAGTTTACTAGTGTTTGAACCGGCTTCTCATCTCTTAATTCTTCAAAAGTGTGCAGGATCCATTTTAATAACGGGGTACCAGCGCTCACTATAAACTGCGTTCCATACTTTGTACGTTAGCAACTCGAAGTAGTCCTTTACACTAACGAGACGTCCAAAATTTGTGGTCACAGAGTTCTCTAGTTTACGTAACTCAAAAAATTATTTGCTTTATCAAGCGCTGAAGTACATTAAATATTGAAATATGTGTATCCTAACAGCGAACTTGTCGCAAAAATGTAACTAGTATATTTACTTATGAAGCTTCTTAAAGATTCAAAATAACATTACTAGTTAAGGTACTTCTTGAACATGAGTTCACCTAATACAAACACGAACACAATTAAAGCGCCCTAGGTATATAGCAAGGCCTTTGCTATAGAAAGGAATAAAGCCTGTCCTGGCCAAAAGTCCGTTAGCCAGCTGTATTTATGCCTCGCATTTAGCGAAGTTGACAAAGTCGGGAAGTTATTAATTTATTGTCATGCTCCCGAAAAACTGGATATTCAATTTCTGAACATAATGATTATTGGAAACCCTTACATTTCTTTTCTTTCCTGGAATCTGCGTTCCCCGAAAGTCTCGCGTGTGCGTGACGATGGATGGAGAGAAAATACCCAATCACAAATATATTTTACCTTAATCTTCAGTTGCTATTCATAGTGCTTTTCGACACCAGGACATTTGAGAAGTGAAAGAAGCAAGCCTTCACGATGGAGCAGAGAGTAAACATGATTCACTTAACAGAAAATGAGAGAAAAAAGTAAAGCAGGCGTTGTTCGTGAACATGGACTTCCGAGCTCATCTGTTTCCACGACTTGGAAAAATGCAAGCCCAATTATATCTTAATCTGGCCGCAAGGACGATTTTTTCTAGCCCCTTTCATTAACGAGTTCGACTGCACTCAGACGTTTCGACCTTGTTGATCACTGTACAGCTGTTGACTACCCTTTGCGAAGGTTATCTCACGCCAGGGTGACCCGTACCACGTACACATGTCGGCTCCTCGCAGAGAGTCGTTGCCGTAAGACAGGGGTCGGCAACTTTTCACTAACTGCGGGCCGGAGAAGGGAGTGAGGATTTGAAAATAATAAAATGAAAGTAAATCTCTTTTCTTGGCGTGCTTGGCGGGCCGAATCCGGCCCGCGAGCCGTAGGTTGCCGACCCCTGCCGTAAGTCTTTTGTAAGGACGTGAACGTCCGGCAGCGGCGTTTTCCATTCGAACGCAAATATCAACGGCTGCCAAGCGTCCATCGACGCATCGACCCATGACAGCAGGCCGGTCACAACTGATTTTTAACTTCAAAGACCACACCACAAGCAGCATTTGACATCGAAGTAATTGCTGGCGCCGCAAAAAAAAACCAGGCCGCATGGTCTCCAATAACCCCTCGCATATGCATACGTACACGTGCTTATGGATCACGTGCGATGACGAAAGGCACCAGAGGCAGGAGCAGGGGCTTGGCTCCTGACCTCCCCCGTGGGAGGTGCCACGCCTCCCACGCACCCCCTTCGTGCCCTCAAGCCTAACGGGCCATGTAATGCCCCCATTATAAGTCAAGAATTTTATTCCAGAAGTGACTAGAAGGCGACTATTACTCTCACAGGATGAAACTGATAGCTGTAACTTTTGGTAGCTAGTTGTAAATAAGAAAAAGTAGTCGGTTCTCATTGTTAGTCCATCCTGAGGATAATTATTCTCTTAGATTCGCTAGTTCAACCAGTTTTTGAGCAATTCTAGTTAAATAGTGCTATAAGTATCTCCTGATCACTTAGATCTTCAGTGGCTTGCGGAAGCAAATTATTCAACAATGAGATGCCAGTTCTCACTATAAACTATACTATGCGGAGTAGCTATTCTGTAAGTCGGCGTACTTTACAGCAGGCGAAATGTCAAAATATGCAGTCACAGAGTTCTCTATTATATATGACTATTTTAAAAAAAAATGTTCTGAATTGGTAATTTGGCGATTTTAACATCCTTAAAACGAACTAGAACCAAAAATGATGCCAGTATATTTACTCGTGAGGCTCCTCTAAGAGTCTAGGTACTGCTTTAATATTATCTTAATACTGACACTGGATGTAACTAGCATGTTGTTTTCGAAAAGTAACTTGCTCGTCAGTTATATTAGAATTTTTGAAATCGGTCGAAACACCAAATATCTCTCGGTCGAACTCCATTAATATTCTAAGCCTAAAGAGCGTAAGAGAGACTAAGGCAAGGAAAGCGATGCATCGAGGAGAGTCCTGAATTTGCATAGTTCCTGACTCATAGGTCATAATTCGCCATCATTCGTAAGGGAAGACGAAGAATGTTGATTCTTCGATAGTCTGTCGCTTTAAGTTTCGCTGTTTCGGTAAGGGGTAAAGTAAGGGTGAAGAGTGCAGTCTTTGGCGAAAGCACAAAACATTCCCCTGAAGATAGTTAAAAGATGCTATATATGCAACATTTCTTTTCTTTCAGTGGCAGAGGTTTATATTGGATTCTGTACCCGGTAGCATTAGTGGGAACACGGTCACGGTACATATAGAACTTCCTTCTGGATATCAACCATGGGGATAATGTAATTGTGGTTCAAGACCCGCGTTTGCGAGAACGGAAGAACGATGACCAATCGGAGGCCGCCACGTCATGCGAGCGGACCAATCGGAGGCCGCCACGTCACATGAGGCCACAATCCAGACGCACACTCATCACGTCGACCTTCTCACGTCCTTCTCTCACTCTTCTTCTCTCCTCTCTCACTCTTCTTCTCTTCACTGCGTCACTTCCTCATTTGCGCTACCCATAGTCTCCCTTTTGTCATCACACTCTTTCCTTCTATTCTCCAAGCAGCAAGGCCGTATTTAGGGGGGGGGGGGGGTTACGCGTTTTCTTATCCATCAAAAAATACAAAAGAGTGACGCTATGGAAATGAAACTTTTCCCACACATAGACAATAATGTTAAGGAAAAAAACTGCATGAAAAGATTGCTAGGGCTTTTGTATTTATCTAGTTAAAAATATGGGACAAAAATGGACAGGACTTTCTGGTCACCCTGTACTATGCGGAGTAGCTATTCTGTAAGTCGGCGTACTTTACAGCAGGCGAAATGTCAAAATATGCAGTCAGAGTTCTCTATTATATATGACTATTTTAAAAAAATGTTCTGAATTGGTAATTTGGCGATTTTAACATCCTTAAAACGAACTAGAACCAAAAATTATGCCAGTATATTTACTCGTGAGGCTCCTCTAAGAGTCTAGGTACTGCTTTAATATTATCCTAATACTGACACTGGATGTAACTAGCATGTTGTTTTCGAAAAGTAACTTGCTCATCAGTTATATTAGAATTTTTGAAATCGGTCGAAACACCAAATATCTGCCAGTCGAACTCCATTAATATTCTAAGCCTAAAGAGCGTAAGAGAGACTAAGGCAAGGAAAGCGATGCATCGAGGAGAGTCCTGAATTTGCATAGTTCCTGACTCACAGGTCATAATTCGCCATCATTCGTAAGGGAAGACGAAGAATGTTGATTCTTCGATAGTCTGTCGCTTTAAGTTTCGCTGTTTCGGTAAGGGGTAAAGTAAGGGTGAAGAGTGCAGTCTTTGGCGAAAGCACAAAAAATTCCCCTGAAGATAGTTAGATGCTATATATGCAACATTTCTTTTCTTTCAGTGGCAGAGGTTTATATTTGATTCAGTATCCGGTAGCATTAGTGGGAACACGGTCACGGGACATATAGAACTTCCTTCTGGATATCAACCATGGGGATAATGTAATTGTGGTTCAAGACCCGCGTTTGCGAGAACGGAAGAACGATAACCAATCGGAGGCCGCCACGTCACATGAGGCCACAATCCAGACGCACACTCATCACGTCGACCTTCTCACGTCCTTCTCTCACTACGCTCTTCACTGCGTCACTTCCTCATTTGCGCTATCCATAGTCTCCCTTTTGTCATCACACTCTTTCCTTCTATTCTCCAAGCAGCAAGGCCGTATTTAGGCCGTTCATGAGATTCCACCCCCCCCCCCCCCCGAAATATCTTCCTTAAAATTTACCATACTGCTATTCGGCGGTGCAAACGGTGCAGTACTTGGTCTTTTCTATCTTTAATAACTTTTGACTTATTAACACTGCAACTTACAGGAAAATCCAGATATGTCGAAAAGACTTACAATGACAAGTATTAAAAAAATAGCCGCAGCGCGTACGCCAGACCTCACTCCCCCCCCCCCCCACCGAAATGAATTCCCAGATATGGCCCTGCCAAGCAGATCCTGTTTTTTACTGAGACGGAGTAAATGTCCTCCCCCCTCCTCTTCTGTGGAAATGCTTGAGGAAAATTGACGCTAAAACGCACCCTTGACAATTCCCAATCGGCCGTAAGTCGCGCCTCCTGTTCGCAGCCCTGTCACAACGAGGGAAGAAAAAGTTGACGATCCCGGAAAAAATTAAACACCCCGAGACTAACCTTTCATCGCAGGAGCAGTGATTGAGGGTGTACACCCTCCAATTATACAGGCCGTACTTGGTCGCATAGGACTCGATGAAGAAGGGACAGTGGAGGTCGTGCAACCGACAGCATTTGTCGGCTCCCTGGTACCCGCCCAGTTCCTCGGGGGTGCGGGCCGTGAATCCCTTCCCGCACCAGCGAGTCCCTGGGATTCGGAGGATGGACACCGAATCCCGTTTCCTCCTATTTGGGTTTATTTTATACAATTTTATATCGTGTCGGGATCTTATCACCCGACTGCCTTTGCCTTTCCTCGGCCAGATTCCGTTTCGCCTGCCTGCTAGGATTTGTAAACATTTGCACAGAAAAGAGACGTGGGAAATCGCCCGGTCGATCGAAAGCCGATCGAAACCGCCCGCGAGTGGTTTGAGACGCAGAAAAAAACAGGCTTTGGGCGAAGAGAAAAAAGTCGGAACCTTAAAGGTGACCCGTGTATGCGTATCGCCTCGTTCATCTCGCATTTAACGCACGTCTGCTCGTCCGTCCGTCCGTCTCTGTCGACGACGTCGAAGATCATTTACCTGTCGTCGCAGTCGCAGTGCGAGAGGGTGTGGAACCGCAGATTGAAGAGCCCGAACTCGGATGAGAAGGCCTTGATTTTGGACGGGCAATGGTCGTGCTCGCGGCAGCAGGTATCCGAGGACGTGTACACGCCCACCTCGCGGAACTCTTCCGCCTCGTTCCCCATCCCGCACCACTTCGTCCCGGGCATGATGCCCATCGTCACCGAGGACCCGCCGATCTCCCGCTTCTTCCTATGCACAGGGCATACGCCCGGTGGGCGGCGTGGAATGCGAGGGGCAGTCTTCATAAATCGTCACGTCTGTTAATTTATTATCGTCTCGTTTCTCCGCAGATAAATATTAGCGTTCTATTTTAATTTTTTTTTTCGCATCCACGAGCCGCATTGAGCATATCATAGACCAAAAAAAAAAAAAGGCACATCGTTTCCTGCAGACATGAGTAGAAAAGACTGCCTACTGCTGCTATATAAAATGTGGAGTGGAATTTCATGTTGTTTCCCGATTTTGGCTTCTTTGAAACCTACGACCATTTCACCATTCCCCAACTGGAAACGAAGAGGCTTCTATTTTGGCCCTCACTTTAACCCATTTGCATCCATCTGCTTAATTTAAATGCACCCGGTCACCAGCCACTTTTTACAAGGGGTTTAAATTTTACGCCAACTCAAAAAAAAATATATATATATTTATATATATGGTAATATTGCCCGTGAGAACAAGTGCGTACCAATACGTCATTGGATGGGAATGGGCTAATCCTCGCGGGAGGAAAGGTGCGACAGTCTGATCGACGGAAACTCCCTTCCTTCCCCTGACCTTCCTGCAGTGCCAAGTGAAGGACTGAGACTAAGCTTAAAAGACCGGAAGGAGAGGTCTCCGCGAGCAGACGACGCTTCTCGAATCGACCAATCGGACACAGATGTCTAGCAAGCGAGTCTTCTGCTCGGTAGGACGTCAACACCGAATTTATCTGTCCCTCCAAGTTCATTTATTTTTGCATTGTATAATACCTATACACGGTAATCTATACACGGTTTGATAGCGCCTCCTTTCAAGAGTCTTGTCATGTGTCTTCCGCGAGTGGGATAACCGTGGGGTGGGCAATGGAGCTTTCATATTCGCTAGCACCATTCTCTTATCTGGGCATTACCTGTTCGACAGAGGTTTTTTTTTTTTTTTTTTAGTAAGTGAGCAATTCAACTACGCATCATTCCAAAGATGCGTAGTTGCATTGCACACAAAGGCGTGAAATTTTCCCTTTTTGCGGAAAACGTAGAAACGTGGAGAGTTCGAGACAATTTTTTCCAGTCCCTTTAGCATTACATCAATTGCCCTACTAAGGAATATCCGAGACACAACTTCATATTATGCAACATATTTTCGAAGGCTTTTGAGTTTTTTTTTTTTTCGAAGGACATCGACTGCTTCCCTAAGGTTCATCGTAAATTGACTAGCTGAGACGGAGGAACAATATACGCATTTTTCACCAATGCCAGTCAAGGATTTCAACTTTTGCTTGCGGAAGGCGCCATACGATACTGAAATTTTTTTTTCCTAGAAAAGCCAACACCCTTGCGTAGAAAGCTGAGTAAGAATCGAGGGGAATCACTTCCCCCATAAAACCAGAAAATTAAAGCCCGCCGCACACGAGGCGACCATCGCAGACGTGACCCCGCACACGTAGCAATTTTTGTTGCATGACGTCATCTGCGACGGTCATGTGCCCCCGGGGAGCACACACGGAGGAATCTGCAAGCAATGTGATTGGTCGATGCTAGAATTAGGGTCCGCCGACATCGCAGGACCCCCGCACACGGAGTAATAGTCGAGCGACGACAATATTTATCGCAGGAAAAATGAGCAGGGAGCAATATCCTGCGACGGTCGCACGACAAAAATCGCCTCGTGTGCGGCGGGCTTAAGAATTCAGACTGTAAGAAGTGCCTTTTAATACAGATCACCTGCAGATGAATTCACCCGATCGTTAAAACTGCGGGATCCTTGAGAAGCGATTCTTACTTGGACCTCACTTTTGCCGCTAAGTCAGACTTTGGAAGCATGGTAAACAAGCTCCCAAAGTCAGACTTTGCGAGAAAGTCTGACTTAACTAAGGCATTGCAACTGGCCCAGAGTCAGTCTTACATAGAGCATAACTAAAAATAATGGAAAATATTAATTTGTCTGATGGAAAAAAAAACAAGTGAAAATCTCGGATACAGGCCCAAGACTCGCAATAAATTTTCCTCTGGTAATTCCTTATTGAAACAATATCGAGGTCACTCTTCCAAGGCCATTCAACTTTAAAGTTTTTCCACTGCATTAACTGTTATTGTTGACTTTATGCATTCCAGCAGTTATCCTCAAGGCAGAGACAACATACGGAAAAATGTGAGGTAAAAGGCACACATCTGGATCCGATTTTGATATCCATAAATGCAGGACCACGTGTCCTTGAAAACGCAGATCGTCGTCGTCACGTGAGGAAAAAGTGAGGTCGAAGCAAGAATCGCATTTGGAGCACGCCACAGGCTGCTCTTGAATGCTTCACGCAGGGGTACCGTTTCCACAGTTCGAACTATCGAGAGAAGTCTTACGTAGATGATTAATGTCCATGGGGCAATTCTGATGTCACTTTGACGCCACATTTCCTTGTTTTTATGGGGGTGGCACATATCAAACCCTGGAGTTTCCTGCTATTTTTCCAATTATTTCAGAGGGCCACAGCAGAAAATCTCAAGTCCACCGCGCAGGGCAGTCTAAAGGCGTGCAAACACGCGAATATTCTTAATGACCGTTTATTATAGCAAAAGCTTCAATGCACGTCCTGTCCGTTTTAATTTTTGTTTTCCAGACATGTCGTCACCGTGACTTTCACGATTCACATGTTTCCCTCGCATCATATTTTCACGGCTCCATGCCTCGTGCAGAAGCACTCACGCAAAGTTTTCCTTTCCTTTCTTTTCCTTCGAAACTTGTCATGACGGATCCACTATCTCCGACTTAGTTTATCTCCCTCTCAGTACTCATATAAATTAAAAGAAGTTCCGCATCTGTCTCGAGACATAACAGAACGCGAGACGCTGCGCCGCACCTACCAGCTTCTCAGAATTCTCGTAAAGCCGCGGCCTCGACATGACAAGACTCTCGAGCGGATGATAACCAGGTGCTGCAAAAGGAGGATGAAAAAGCCTCCACGAGCTCAGAGCATGCACGACGGGCGTCGCCCCGTTTCTTCGCCTTGGGTCTCCGGGAAGACGACCGAGAAAGGGCAAGGAGAAGGTCCTTCCCATCGCAGTTCTTCAAGCTAACGATAAGTCGGTATTAACAGTATTATTTAATTTTTTTTGAGAATACGATCGGCGACGAGGCCTTTGCGCGAGATATCGTCTGTTCGTAAGAAAAAAAAAAAAGTTGAGTTTTGACTGGAGATCCAAGTTCGGCGTTTTACGCCTTCCCAATGGGAATCAAATCAGCAAGGAAAGTGCGAAATATCATATAAGCCGATCGAATCATTCCAGTTATTTTTGCCCGACAGCATATCATCTTGATCATTTTCCAATATCTTAATCCTCTTTTTCGAGAAGAGGTTTTTGACATAACGTAGAAAGACGTGATGTGACTGTCCGTCAGCATGAGTCTCCTGGAACTCTAAACTCAAAAGATTTACTAAGCGTGGAATTTTCTGGAATGAATCGTCACATCGATATTAAAATGGATACAAGAACAGGAACGCTAGCACATCGGCTTTCATGAGATGCTGCATCCTCCTTTTAATGCGTACTGATCAGCTCGATCAGAGCCTTTTCTGGCCCTTAGATATTATATAATCTACCCCCCCCCCCCTTCCCGAATGCAAGATTCAATGAATTTCTGTGGTGCGGTGAGCTCGTAGAGGCCCCAAAAAGAAAGGCAGAGAAACAAGAGTCCTTTCACCGGTGCAACTCCTGTAAACAGAATCAGAGAAATCTCCCGAGAAACACCATCGGTAAGCACAAACTTAACTCACCTCGTGGATTCGTGACGTGAAATGAATGAAAAGAAGTGAAGTGAAAAGAAAGTTGCCCTTCACCACATGCAAGAAATTCCCTGAGGTTCATGAAAAGGTCCAGATGAAGAGCTATCCATGCAACGATATCACTTCAGCAGTGGATAAACAAAAGACGTAGACAAACAAGCTCATTCCTGCACACCGCAGTAGCAATACCAAGTACACATGCACCACAAAAAACGTGTTTTTTTTTTTATAAATGCAGATTAGGATAGGTTCCTGCGTGAGGAAACTCGGTGATTCCATCCATCATTTGGAGCACCTTATGCGGTCGTATAAGGTCTTCTGCTTCGGAGGATTCGCATTGACGTGCCAGGGAAGCAGAAGTAGAGCTCGTAAATTCTCGACCACGTCGGACCATCCCCCAGCTCCGACCTATCCCACATCTCGATGCACGCTATGGACTAGTAATGCGTAGCATCGAATAGTATTGCATGAATTTCGAGAATCAGGAGGCCTGAGGCCCACTCGCGATGTGTTGCCCATCTCTGGCCACTGTACGGACGATTCGACGAAGAAACACCCATGCGCCCCACTCATGCAACGCATTTAAAAAGAAGCACAGATTTCGAGGAAGCACAATGTGCATGCACAGAAGGAAAAAAAAAGCTCTCTGCACCGAGATCTTTCAACGTGTCCGACAAAAAAAAATCACTCAAACACGTTGCGCACTTATGCCCCTGGGAAGCAGCGGGCTTCTAATGGGACTAAACCATGTCTGAATCGAATGCGAATACCGCAAGTAATACCAAAATCCATCGTCTTTTGTATGAAGCAGGCAATTTTTCTTCGTGAGGAGAGAGTTCGATACATCTTAAGCGAAGAAGGCTCGAATTCTGGAACCTCCTTTAGTTAACGGTCTTTTAAGAATACATGGACTCCTACGGGGAAAGGAGAATTCTAACTTAAAGGCCTCTTTATCTCTCCTACAGGAGGTCTGTGCATTCGACCATACGTCTCTCAAACTTTATTCTCTCGAAGGCCAAAGGTACTGTTCAAGTCTGAGAGGCTAGAATTTGCAAATTTCCAGTTTCTCCCTTCCCTGTTCAGCCCAGGAGTCGCCCAAGGAAGAAGTAATTGTCAAGCAACTTCACATACAAGGTGGTAAAAGTTTTGCCCATCACTTTTCTTTTGCAAAAGAACTAGGAACACTTCAAGCAAGCAATATGTCATTTGGGAGCCCTGGCTCTACTGCATTATGCACAATACATCATTCCAAAGAGAAAAAAAAAAACTGAGCACTCTCCCATCGCTTGATTGGATATTGCCCTCTCTTTCCTTGTCCATTGCTCGAAATTCCGCACACCGATCACAACAATTTTCTAACGGTTGGAAGGTCTCTTACTTCCCTTTGATTTAGGATACATGACGACTCATTAGGAAGTTTCGATTGGGCGATTGAGGAAATATGGGAGGGATCGTCCCGTCCATCTACCTCTCAAATGTTAAGTTCTTGTTTTTTTTTTCTTATTTGGAATGGAGTATTATCGGAAACGTGCAATTGCATCTCAGTATGTTTCATAATATAAGCGCAGTGAAATTTTCCTGTCGTTACAATTCAGTTGGAGTGCACGACAAATGCGTTCAGCAGGTGAAACAGTGAAAAAGTCTAAGGCCTGAATGCACAAACCTCATTTAGGGGAGATAAAGGGGCCTTTAAACTAATGAACACTTTTTCCCCCATAGAAATCCGTGTATCCGTTAACTAAAGGAAGTTTCAGCATTCAGGCCTAAGCATTTGCTTACTCGTGCGCAAGGGAACAACGCACCATCGCCTGCGACGGCGCACAGATGACACGAGTGATTTCACGATGAAGAACAGTATTGAAGAATACTGCTAAGGTCGTCCATTTACCCGTGAAGGTCGTCCATCTTGGAGGAAACTGATTCATGGGCGAAAACATTCACGCATGGGCGACAGCATTCATTGGGTTTGTCAGCGTGGAATCATTTAATCCATAAGCGACGGTGCATTCTTTCCATGTGCGGTTTCATATAAACAGTTTTCCCCTGGCTTCGCTTATAATATACGCTGTCCTACGTTCTAGCTTCAATGCGACTACAAGGAAATGTCTGCACCTCTAACGCAGCAAAAAAAGTGCAGCGGCATTATTCCATGTTTGCAATGACAGTAGAGGCTACAAATGACCAAATGTGCGATATAGCACTTCTAGTTTTTGAGCCAAAAATTAATTTGCAAGACTTTTTGATACCCCTCGTATACTATGCATGCGTAAGTACACAGTTGTAGGGTTTCACTCTGGTTGAGTGAAAAAAAAAGTGGGAGGAAACGAGCGGCCATCCATATCGCTTGCAAGGTTGCAAAATGAGCAATGGAGAATGAGGATCACACTCAGAATTTCAGCTTATTTGAAACTGATTTCATCAACGGCCGTGCGTCGTCTTATTCACGTTCTGACATAAAAAAAAACGTTATTCAAAGTCCATGATCGTTTTGTACTCGACTGCTGTTACAAAGCTGTCGTTACACCGACATCAACATATAATTGTAAACTTCCAGATATGCATTTCTTCGTTCATCGTTTTCCAGAAACCCAGAAACTTTCCCCTGGAATCGAATATTTTATCATTTTGGAATGGCGGCGCGGGACATTTTCAAGCGTGGGTGGACACCGACAAATCCAAGTTCATTTATGTCGTTGCAGCCTCCACGAAGATGGTCAGGAGAGAGAGAGAGAGAGAGAGTGATCAACGTCTCACTGTCTCAAATAATATTTTAACAAGCCTGGATGGAAGACGCCTATAGAGAAATATGGAGAGAAAGAAACCTGTGGGTTGTGAAACGGCCCTACCGGAGATTGGAGACGTGAAACTGGAAAGCCCTGAAGAGCTTTGGGATCGGTTCCAATGAAGCCCTTTTATGTAGTTGGAAGGCAGCCCCCTTGAAGGTTGCCATCCATATATAGAAAAATGCCATAAAACGATGACTCTTGGACTATGTAATGTAATAAACTGATTATGACTCATCTCCTAACCCTTTCATCAATCATTAATGGCCGATTTAAGCTGACTGCATCTCCCTCATCACGTGACGAGGAAAGGAATCGCTCCAGGCCTCAAAGAAGTTGCGATGAATATTCGGGGTAAAATATGACATTTATAATTAACTTAAGCATTTGAGTGACGGCATGGCAAAAAAAAAGGCCGGAATATGCATCGCGATGCAAGAATGTCTTCCTACGGAACGATGAGGATGGTACGGACGTGCGTTTGTAACGAGTGCAGAGGCATTTAACTCTCCCTGGCTGCCTTGTTATCCACTGCGCAAATCTTCTGCCTCGACGATGCTGCCTGTCTCGAGGCAGAAATGGGAATTCACGCTCTGGCTCCTGTGTTGCAGGAGGAAGTTGGCTGCTTTCTTGGAAACTTCACGGATAATAAAAAGTCTGAAAAATTGTCCAGGAGAAGAAGGAACTTGAGTAACAATAATAAAGCGAAAGTTACTTCAGCCTTAGTATTCTTTGTTAAATATATTTTCCTCCCCTTCATAAAACACGAAAAATTTGCAGGTCCTCCAGGTTTAAATAAATAAATATATGAATATTTTTTTTAGAGCGACCTCCTCATGAGTTACATACCGCCCATCTCCTTGTTCTACGTTTCTCGCATGATCCCCTATCGTCTATCAGGTAACTGACACCTTAAGTAGGCTACGCATAGTTTGCTTTTGTCCTACTCTGCAGCGGTTCCCCAACCTAAAACAGAAACTCCCACACTTGCGGGTTATTGTGCTAGACTGAATCTCTGACGCGGCTCGGTGCTTCGTTTGCAGTGAGCCTCATTCTTTTGAATACGGAATGAGGCTCCTGATACAATCGCGGGAGTGTCTGCGCTTGCGTATCTGTCCGTTTCTCGGCGTCAACCTTTCGTCAACGTTGTGGGATTGCTAGTCCTTCAAATTGCAACACGTTTCCCCTTAATTCCATCTATTGTGCTCTCCAAGGAGAGCAATGGATGATGGGCTCCCCTCGCGCAAACCACCAAGGTCTACTAAGGCCGTTCCGAGGCATCCTCTGGCATTCGCCTCCTCTCTACTTCTCAGGTCCCTAATTATTTTTCCTGGGTCATCTGAGATGGTACAACCAAAGGAGGCTCCCATTGGACTGGGCTATGCGCAGTTTTTTTTTTCCCGTTCGAGATAATCAGGAATTGAGGGGTACTTCGTTCGGAGGTATGATAAAGGCATGCAAGTCTCCACAACGACCAGGATAAAGCAGTCAAGGGAATTGAATCATCGGTTCGCATCCACATGCAATTCCATTCATGCACAACATACTGCTCACACATGACGGGTTCTTTTTTTCTCTCTCGTTAGCATCATTAATAAGAGGGATAGACGAGGGTTGCTCATTGTGCATACAAATGCTTGATAATTCCCATAATTGCAGCGATTACCCCGAGGACGTCCTCGGATGTCCTGTCTTAGAGGTCGAATCGCGGCTTCCTCCGCGGAACGGGAACTGGGTCAATGAGCACCATCCTTCCACCTCATCAATAGTTGATCAATGGATGAAGGTTCTAGGAGCGCTATCCTTCCCCCCCGCTCGCGCGTACTCCATCACCCCCTCAGAGGCGAAAAAGGGGAACGAGCAGGCGCCAGAGGAGGATCTGGTCTTCCTCACTCGCTGCGCTTTGTCGCTACCTCACGGAATTGTCGTCATTAGTCGTTTTAACGGGCGGCCCTGATCCGTTTTTCCCGTGTGTGCAGGCAGGGTTTAGAGGGGATTGGCAAGTCAAGGCAAAGGCATTCGGGATCGTATTATCAATCACTCCCATAAAAATAAAACACCCAATAGAAATCAAATCTGAAACCATAAAAAAGTACACGGCAAAATGCGTTAATTCAAGAGATATGATGAATGAGCAGGCAGGGAGTTCAGCGCTTTGCTCAAGCCATGCAGCTGTCTTCTTTTCCTTTTCACGAAACTCAGGGAAATCTTAGGTCTCACTTCTGATGGCATGTTTTGGAATAAGGAGCGTTTCTACTTACCTGACGAGCTCATCCGCCTGCTGCCTCGTCTCCTCGTCCGGACTCTGGGAGAGATGTGCCAATTTCTTCAGATCTTTATGCAATTTCTTGCACTCTCTCCTGAGGGTCGGGTATTCGACCATTCGCTGCAATTCCGGGTCCAGCCCGCTCACGTCGTCGTCGGGCAAGAGCTTGAGGGAGACGTTCCTCAGCCCCGATGACGGGTCGATGGCGAGGTAGGTCCCCCCCTGCGCGTACAGGACTTCCTTCTCCGCGTCGTCCATGAAGCCGTCGAGGAACTCCCTCGCCGTCTTGGGGTCTTTCATGTATTCACAATCCTGGAGAACTCCATCCGCATTGTAGATGGATTGCAGGAAACGCTTCCCATCTGTCACCTGCACCAGCGACAGCCCCGACCTTTCATAGACAAGGAAGGGAGTAAAGGATTTGTTGACAAACGTCGCACACTGCGTAGACGGAGCGTGTACATTACTCACGAGTGAATTCCCTTCTCTCTGATAAGAGGTATGACTAAGGTATCTCGGAGCGCAAAAACTCTGCATTAGCAAACGCTCAGCCCCATATCCGATCATCCGAATCGTCAATGTATAACGGCGTTTCACACCCTTGCCTACACTATGTCTCCATTGATGCTTTACTGCTCTTCAAAAAAAGCATTCGCAATGTCTCTTTTCCCTTCCATAATTTACGACTTCTTGGAAGGCCTCTGAGCCACTCATCGTGACGGAGGCAATGAATAAGCCCAAAAAATATATACGCCCTATGCCCGCATTATCATCAGTGCTGTAGCCCCCCTGAAAGACCTGCATCAATCTCCGAACCATTTCCATTCAGACAAGTTTAAGCAACCTTCATTTCTCGGAAATGAAGAGGTTCCGTCGAGTTTCTGCGCATGTTTATCGGCAAAAAAAATCTCCGACAAAGTTGGGGGAGTACTATGGCTTCAAACATATATATATATATATATATTTTTTTTTTTTTAATTGCAATGGACTGTGTCCAGCTTGTCTTTCTTTCCCTGAAAATATTCCAGGGACTTTTTTGTTGTCCCTCGATTTCGGAATATCACATATCGGGAAATGATGATGGCTTGCATGGATACATGTGCTTCAAACACGAAACCGTGGGAATTGAACAAAATTCACGGCGGAAGTTAGACTGGGTCTCATTAATTCTCGCTCAGAGAGAAGAACCGTGCAGGCTTCCACCGCGAGACACTGACATTGAACGGAGTCATGTGAGAGGGGGAGCGAGCGCGTCTGCCGTGAACCTTGGAATAGGGAAAAGCGCGCCTCGTCATGCAAGGTGAGAAAGGTCTTCTCACTTCGTCCGGTCGTTCAATAATGTCAAGGTAAGGCAGAAAAAGAGCGAGTGGCCTGGAGCATTATGGAGGGGCGAAAATTCTTCTTTTGAACCGATATCCTGATTTTACTTATGCCGTTTCGCTGAGGGAGACCGAATAAAAGGCAGTGTATGGAATGAACTCCAATTGAAACGAGAGGAGAGTGAATAAAAAAACCAAGGGGGCTAAAACAGGATGTCAGGTATTTCAGGATGAGATATATAGGCAACCTACGAATTAATAACTTCCTGGTTTCCGTCTCTTCTATTATTTGCCCTTCAGTTGGAAGCTATGCCTTTCTGCTTTGGAAATTCAGCCGCATGTGCATGATTGGAAGGGAATATCAATTTTTTGGAAGTTTCCACATTAAAATCCGAGACAATTAATAATAAATTTTTAATTAATAAAGCTCACAAATGCTGAGATGCCTTGAAAGCGTTGACGCACTACTGCTATAATGGGAAAATTCTAAATTCTCATCGGGTTTCCCGTTCCCACCACTTATCCACTCCAGAAGGCTTGAATTTATTTTTATCATCATCGTGAACTTTATTCAACTAAGGTCAACATAACGGCTTTAATCTATCTTCTTTATGTCGCAATAAAACATTATTCCACACATCAAATGGAACGGTTTCACAATTTCAGCCCACCTCCAATTAACCAACGAACTCTTCATCAGAATTTTTTTTGTTTCTCTTCCCCCTCCTAGTAAGGATTACACTGACCTGGATCCGTTTTGGTAGGAAACGACAGACGTTTCCTTGGCACTGATGCCATTATACTGTATTCGCCTTTCCCGCTCCCCGTCCGTCAACGTGTCCTCGAGGAGGAAATTTTCGTGTCCATTCACTTTGAAGGAGTTTCCAGCCCCGCCCACAAGGCACATGCAGAGTCTGAAGGACAACACGATGAACAGCACCGGGATCCGTTGCACCAATGTCTTCATCGTGATGGAGACAGAGAGACTAAGCGAGCAGAGTGGAGGGAGCGATCCACGCCAGACGACTGGTCGCGCTTTACTGGGAAGATATCCTCAGCTCTGGTGGGCATCTTCGACTCCGGTGGGACATCTTCGACTCTACCGGCTGCATCGTCCCGTTGCCTTTAAGTCTGTATCCGAATTGACTTCGTGTGCTTTTTGGATTTATTTCATACGTTTCTCGAATTGAAGTCCTACTTCTACTGGAAAATTCTACTAAGGGGTTAATCATTTATCTATTATTTATTAATCAACCATTCATTACTCGTAAAAATGTAAGAATTCAATTTTAAAAAGAACGACGTTGACTCGAAACATCGCCAATCCGATTTCATCGCAATGGTTCAGAAGTCCACCACATGAAATATATTGACGATAATGACGAGTCTGCCACTGAAAGCATGTCGATCTCCTTCGATTTGCGCAGTATCAGGATCTCCGAGGAGAGACTGATTTTTCGAAACGTCGAAAGCCGAGTCAGAAAAGGTTTGGTTGAATATCACTGCAATCCCATAGTTCGATATCAGGGCTAAGAGGCGTAATTAGATTCAAGAACAAAGAGGTAAGTTCCCTCAAGCACAGAGATTCGCTGATTTCCATAATCGGACAACCAGTCTCAGACCTCCTCGTTAACTCAACACTAATTGTCATCAGGGCTGCGAGGGAAATACGTAGGACATCCCGATTACTTCTTCCAGGCCACTGTAGAAAACAGAATGAGAAGAGATATTTATTATGAAAGCGGTTTCAACAATACAGGAGGGAATGAAAGGAAATTCTCAAGAGCTCTTAAATATGGCATCACTGACGTTCCCCGAAGCAGTACACTATGGCGCACGAGAGAGCATCTCAGCTCTCCAGCCTGTTGACCATCGTGACCAAGTAGCTTCGAGACGATAATTTCCAGTCGTTTTCTTACTCTCTTTTCATCACTGGAAACGCAGTGGAATGGAGGTGGAGGATTCTGGGCGCGACTTGAGGGAGAGGATCCGCAGCCAGGTCGAAGATTCGCGTAGCAGCCAACGGGAAGGGCTGAGAGCAACGAAACGACCTTTCCTATCGGAAGTAGTGGAAGGCCTTACACTTCTTTCGTCCGAGGAGTTGAAAAGTCTCGCTCTGTCTTTGAAGAACAAAAGTAAGGCAAGTCTTCGAGCCTTGCGTCTACATATTTTTTGGTGTTGCTATGGAGATTTTTGTAAAAATTGTTACTCTATTAGTAAGTCTGGTGGAAGGCCTAACTGTAGTGACTCATTTTGTTCAGGTGACGAGAGAGGCCCTGCAGCGAATTTCCGCTTCTGCATCTCTGAGTCAGAAACACATAGATGCAGTTCTTTCAGTGGATGCTGCTCTACCCACTCTCATTGGATACCTTTCAGGTGAACTGACCATTTCTGAATCAACTGAGGAATTACACATTACTCCCATTGGTGTAAGCCTATCTTTTCTATTATTTTTATGTCAGGTGATGATGCTGGGATGCAATTGGAGTCAGCTGCATGCATTACAAATTTAGTTTGTGGGAACCACAAGAGCACAATTCGTGTGGCTCGTGCTGCTGGACCATATCTTCTACTCTATGCTCACTCTTCCCATTCCCACACTCTTCAGGTACCTCACATTGTAGGGTCCTGTTACTAAAACTCACTTGGAAGCTGAATTCCAGTGAAAAGTACCATAGGAAATTTAAGAAGTTGTAGAATTAACACCTGTAAAGTGTAGTATGGTTATGGAATATTAAACATTTGTACTTCTTCCTTTGCCAATACAATCTGTACAAGACTTTTGTTTGGATCTGTTTTTATGGTTACCTCTAAATCATAGGTAACTCTTGAAATATGTTCAGTACAAGGATCAAATTCTGAGAAAAGCTCATCAGAGGGCCATGCTTGAAAATGGGGTGCACAATCAGAAATACCCTGTGAGTGATTGGAGAATGCAGAATCAGGAAAAACTAACACACTTTATTTCAATTTGGACTTATATTACAATTGCTACTAAAAAGGAAATTCATAAACTGGTTATATATGGAAAAAATTTAAGTTTGTTCAAGAATTTAACATAACTTTCTGTCTTCAGTGAACTGAACTAGTAATGGAGGCAGAACTGAAAGGAAGGTGATTGGAGACAATGTGGATTTTTACATATCCCAGTCTTTCCCTAGGTTTCCACTTTTGACCCTGGCAATAAATTGAATGTATTTGAAATCAAGAGCCCCCAGTCTCCATTAGCTTTCCTGTAAGTTCCACTTGTATGGTGCCATGCCTATGTTCTCAACGGCTCCATTTTAAGAATTGCTATGGAACTGATTCAATCCGTTGCACATACCTTTGTGAATTGCCTTGGGATATTTGGCTTTAGAAAAAGCAAGTGAAAAGTACACAACTGGAATGTCAAATTAAAGACACTCGGCATATCTGCTGTATCACACACCAATATGGCATGCAGTTGCCACCAATTCCAATGTCCAAGAAATGCATTGCTTGTTGCTCTGCACAAAGGTAAATTCCATTTTTGTTATAGAATTCTCTGGATGCATTGTGTTTGCCTCACTGCAGACTGATGATTGCATTTATAATTGTATAACTCTGTAGCAGAGACTTTCTAGTTTTTATATGTACTTTTCTTGTAGTTGCAAGATTGCTTTGTGTGGAAGATTAAGTGGTCTTTAAGGTTATTTTGTTTGGCATCACTCCAGCTAAAAAGAATGCCCGAGGCAGGTAAAAGACTATGGGAAATCCCAAAACCGAGCCACATGAAAGTGCATGGTAAACATGTATTGATTCTGTACAGGTCCAGTGCTTCTGGGCAGTGGGGAACATAAGTCGGGATTGTGACAAATGTTGCAGACTCCTGAGCCAGCAGGGTTTCCAAAGTGCCATCACTTCCAGCCTCCCCCTTGTGTCAATTCAAGAGGAAGAGGGAGATGATTCACTCTGCTACCCTTCTCTTTGCCCTATCAGGCTTTCTTCACAGTGCTTCTGAGGCTGACAGGTCTGAATCTGAAGTCTTTCACAGATTTTTATTAATTTTATAGTTGTGTTTGAGTGAATTTCACCCTTTCAGCCCTGGCATTTTAAATGAAAGGCTATACCTATCACATGATGGGTACAATCATATGGTTTTAAGTGTTTCAAGCATGAAAATGCAAAATCATTAAGAAAACTACTACTTTGTTTTTAGCACTCACCTTAATTTTGAGGATTATGTTTTAATCTTTGTTGTTGCAGGAGGAGTCTCGACCTAGAAAGTTTACGGACTATGTTGTCACAGATGACACAAAAGTCCTGCATAGCTGCATACAGATGCCTGTTCTACATGACCTGTGATGATGTATTTGACTCAGCATATCCTCCTCATCTCTTCTCTTTGTGCTTAAATTGGCTAAGTCACCACCTAATTGAGCAAGAGAATACGTCTGTGGAAAAAGTAACCTTGTTGCTGCGAATTCTTGCCAATCTTGTGGTGTGCAGTTCCCAAGTCATCACTCAAGCAACTATAGACCAATCTGCATTCTTGATCCTTGTTCGTGCTCTGCTTTCGTCTCCCTATCTGCATTTGCAGAAGGAAACACAATGGCTTCTTGGGAATCTCCTTCACAGGGAGGTCAGGATTTGGTCAGAAGACCTCTCTCTGCTCTTGGAGGAGTACCTGCCACAATTTTCAATTTCTGCACCGATTTTGCCTATGTTGGCAGAAGGTATTGGAGAAATGGATGGTGATTAGTGTCTTTCATGTTCCATTATGAATTGACTGTGGTATTCATTGCCAACAAGGTACAAAATTTATGGCTGACTCAAAAGTGTAAATCATTTCAGGAGCAATAAAAAAATTACTGATATTTGCAAGGCTAGAGCTGAATTTTGCTGACATTTCCATTGCTGTGGACAATTGGGAACCTCCAAAGGTCAGGATGGCCAAGGTGAGGGGTATCATCAGCAAAATCTGCCTCTGACCAGCGAAAAGCTGGTACATTATGGTAAGTAGGTCCACCCTGTGCCAAGTAGTCCAGACGTGGGAAGAGTTTTGAGGATGTGACCTGCCAAAAGAAGAATTTTTTTTTTCCTATTTGAATAACAAAATACAAGTGTGAAAAGCCCTCACTTTCATATCAGTGCCTCCATGAGACCTGTGGCCCAAAGCAGGGAAGGGGTACACTCCATTTTTTGGGTTCAGGTCATTGCGAGCAGAAATGGCATTCTCGGCACTGTAGGGGGGTGTGCAGTTGCAGTGCGAAAGGGGATCATGGGTGAAGTCATTGTACCTGTCAAGGGAAACCAAAGCACAATCCTCTAGGATCCTGGTATAACAATCATAAGCAGTTCATATGAAATCCATAAATTTTCTTGCCACAGACATCATGAGTTGTGCCATTGACTGAAGGTCAAGGACTTTGTTGTGGTCCCTTTTGAAAATGAGGGCACGTGGGGTGTGGTCATATGTGAACCAGTCACCAAACTTCTCCACCATTTTAGGAGAACCACTCAAGTTGAATATCTCAGGGAAATACCTAGAGGTGTGATTTATCCTGCTTAGAAAAATTGGAAAACAACCAGTCGAGGTACAGGAAAGTGTTTCTCACGGTGTGTTGTAGCTTGGCCAGTATCCTTGATTGGTGAGGACTTCAGTCTTATCCTGATACTTGACATGACCAGGAAGTTGCTCCAAAACCCAAAGAGCACCCTCCTGCACATACACAGGATGTAAAATTAATTCTATGTAGGGATGCTTCAGCCCACATGACCATGTTTTAAAAATATAGTACATTGAGCTGCTTCCCAGGCTTGAACTTCTTGTAATCAACAACCATCCACTGGTTGTTATATGTCCCACTGTTGAAGCGACTGAAAATTTCTGTCCACTGTTCTCCTGTTCGAGCAAGTCGATTGGCTAGGACAGTTCGCAGCCACTCCCCCACTTGACCTTCAGGTTTGATGTACTTCCAAAGAGCAGGGTTTGAGTTCCCAATTGTTGTTTCAAGGCTCACCTGGTTTACACCCAAAATTAATCAATATTTCTACAAGTCTTTTAAGAAATGATGCCAGGGTGCCAGTATACCAGTCCTGATGAAATGAGGTGGAAGTCATCTCCAGAATAAATCATGCCAGGGTAGCTGGAAAAACTGACAGAATGACCTGGAATTCTCTTCTTAGAATCTTCAGTCATGTGGAAGGGGAGAGTGTACTTCTTCAAGACTCGAATCATTGACTGGTACCTAAGGAGCAATTGTCTTCCAATTTCTGCATAGAAGACAGTCTAGAAATTGGGTGACGGTATGTGCTACAGCTTACGTATTCCATGTGACATGAGACACAAAGAGGTCCTGGAAGTCTGGTAGAAGCTTGACAAGGGCTGAGCAGGAGCTCCACCTTGACCCCAGAACCCGAGCAGAATGCAACTCAGGATTTGTCATCACTTCCTGGTTTGGGGAGAAAGCAGTTGTGAGATCTTCCAGGTCTCCTGATATGTGCATCCACCTGCAAAAAACCACCTGAGATTAGTGGTAACAATGCCTTGTGACCCCCTTCCACTCAACAGAGTAAATGCCATTAAAGAAGCAAGCACATTGAATCTTCAAGGCATCAAGAAGGTATAATTTGAATCATAAACCACTGAGCATCCCCTCCTGCTTGGATGATGCCCAGCAGAGAATATCTTCTGTCAAGTGAAATGATTTGAAGCCCATATTTGTGACCTTACAACAGAATATGTAAGAAGTAGTTCAGGGAGGAGGAGGATTTTAAGTGTCATCCCATTGATGTTAATAGCAGTAAATGTAAAGAACATGGCTGCTGTTGTAACAAACTTGATGAAATGATTAAGGTTCATTTTTGTGTATCTCCAGTAGGAGATGTGGAGATTCACAGGTGAAGTTCATTTTTTGCCATATGGCCTCTAGTATCAGGACTCCTACAAACACAACCTGACTATCTTTCTTTTTGTCACTGTCAACTTCTGAAGTTGTTGAAGTTGAAGTGAACATCTATTGGCCATAATAACAGTATTTCTCAAGTAAAATACTTGCAAAAGCAGCTAGTAGAGCCATGAAAACAATTACATAAAACAAATGATTGACTATCTCAGGTGCATAGAATTCTCTTTCAGTTATGAATGTCAACAAGGAGATGCCATTCTCAAGGCTATGAAGGCTCTAGTCATACCAACTAAGGATAGAAGAGGAGAGCTTAAATTTTTTGGTGCCAGTCATAGAACATTGCCTATCCCATTATATAAAATATCAAAATGTACCACTTTACAAAATCAATTATGATAAAGCCCCCTTTTTTCATTCAGGATCCTGAAGCCTGACCCTCATGCATTCAATAATAATGCTTACTTGATACAAGGAGGGAAAGGGAACATGGAATGCAAGAGGAGACCCAATTAAAAGTTTTAACCTACTTGTGTAAGATATGGAAAAAGTGGGATGGACAGTACTATTTTTTTAAAAATCAATACATCTCAAGTGATCAGATTAACCCCTTAATTGGGAAGTTTCCCACCAAATGCATTTTGACCTATGGGTGGTCAGACGTCAAAAGAAGTCTAACCCAGATAAGTGGTTAAAATCTTATCCATTTTTCAAACATGGAAGTTAATAATTGCTGAGTTTAGTACTGAAGGACTTACAGGAATTCTGAGAAAGGGATGAAAGGCAGGTCTGCATCTGGGTCCTTCTTTCTTGCTTCATTGTACCCATCTACTATCCCATGTATTTGATCCAGAGCCAATTTGGCCTGAATAAGAGCAATTACAGCAAAGAGATTAAGCATGACATAATTTGGCAAGAGAAGGAGATTCATCAAATCCATGAAGATATATACCTGATGCCAGTAAGGATCCTTCTCCCAAAGAATCTTCTGTTCAAGCCATGCCATATTGTCCACAAGATATGTATTAATTCTTCCACAGAGAACTTCTTGACCCTGACAGAAATCCTTGCGTGAGTTATACCAGAACCAGTAGATGACTCTACGAGATAGGACTCCCTCAACGAAACCTGCTCCATATGCTTGCAGCCCATCAGGATATTTCTCATTGGATTCTATTTCTAGGTATGACCACCTGAGAAACACCAGTAAAAACATTTTTGAAACAACTGGTGGGAAGGTATCAGAACCAAGAATTACAATAACAGGACACTTGTGGATAGTCTGACCCAGTTTCATTGATGGTGTTAGAAAATTTCCCTCTTGCAAGCCAATCCTGGGATTTCTCACAAATAAGTTGCATAGGTCCAGCTCCATCAGCCTCCAAATATAAAAACCTCCCTTCTTTGATGCATTGGAAATCTTGAATTTCAATAGGAATGCTCTGGGGTAGCACCAATTGTAGCAGAGAAAACAGTAACCAAAGCCCCAGAAATGCCAGCATCATGGGACTGAAGACTATAACAAAACCTGGAGAGAAGCCATGCCTTGAAGTTCTTCAATCAATGCACCACTTCATGACATGAAAATTTGCATTATAGATCACACAGCAAGTGTAAGAGTAGAAATGGAAAATATTGGTAGTCTATTTCCATGCTTGAGTTCCTGTTTTTGAACACATCAGACCTAAATACTACGGTCCAAATGCTGAAATCTCCTTAGGTTAGTGGTCCTTTAACACGTTGATGACCAACCTATTTTTGCTTGTCCGCCGCGTGGGACCACATGCATTTTTTTTGTCAAAAAATGCGTCCTGCCATCAGGACGCATGGTCCCAGAAAACATTTTTTTTTGCCGAGTTTTNCATGGTCCCAGAAAACATTTTTTTTGCCGAGTTTTTTTAAAATGTTGAATTTTTTGGAATTTTTATCAGTAATTACGAAATCATAATCTTCTGGAATGTTCTCAACAGTTCCAGAGGGTATTCATTGAAATAAAATCTGCATCCTGGCATCAGGACGCATTGTCGCCAACGTGTTAAGAATACATGAACTCCTATGGGAGGAAAAGAGCTCTCTAGCTTAAAGGCCCCTGTATCTCACCTAAATGAGGTTTGTGCATTCAGGCTTAAGAATTCATTAAATTTTGATTACCTTCATGAATACTCACTAAACCATTTGGAATCTAATGGAGCAGAATTATCATTAATCATCTCATCTTCATCTTTGGTTCAACATGCCACACAACTAATACCACGGGGGACAGGGATTAGATTGACATGGTTCAACCTAAACCTCTTCTCACACTCAGTTTCCTATGTTAATTCAGTTCCCTGAAGTCAGAAAATAATCATGACTGACTAGAAATGACATTTATTAAGTCAAATTGCTGAGAAAATGTCACGCAATAACAATGATATATTTCCTTATGACAAAAAATATTGGCCTATCAAGATGCTGCTATCTCAAAAACAAGAAAAGGGATTCAGATCACATAGAGTAAAATGGCAAGACCTGGAACTGGTCTTGGTTGAGTTGAATATATGATATTCCATAAAACTTAGGGGAAAAAAAAAAAAATCAGAGGAAACAAATAACCTGTCATGTGGCAAGCCAAGTTAAGAATGGTTGATTGCTGACTAGTTGAATAATAACCAGGGAAGGGATATCCAGGGACATACAACACTGTCCATTCTGGTGATCTGCCTTCCAGCCCTCGAAAGGCAAGGATTCAAAGGTATATCCGCTTCTTCTGCTAATGCTAAGGCTGCCTCTGCTTCACAGTCAGGCAAATTTTGCTAATTCCTCACTTCATGCCTCCAAGCCCCTTTTGTGAAGGGTTGGCTAAATCAATCCACTCCAGGGTTCAGGGGTTCACCATGCATGATTAGGTGGCCATCCTGACCTTAAGGTTAGTGCATTCAACTCAGGTTTTGAGTGTTTGAAGTCTTGCCAATTTACCTTATTCATTCATCAAATGATGTGTCATACAAGTACATGCCCATCCCCTTCAAGTGAATTCCTCTTTAGGTGTTAGCATCTCAGCACCAAAACAACTCTTTTCTCCACCAGGCAATAGATTTTTTCAGCTTTTCTGCTAAAGAGGGTAAAAAAATGTTCCCTTTGAAATTGCAAAAACAGGCTCATAACAAACTATTGCAAACTATGGTGAAGTAGATGAGGAAAGATGGTTAACCTTGACCATTCACATTTGAAATAACTATGCAGTACAAGCAAGCTATTGGGATGCAGGTTGTCAGATTCTTCAAAACAGAGCAAAGTGAGACATTTGACCACTAAAAACTTCCCCTTTCCATTATTTGGTGCCAAATGACCTGGTTATTTCTATAACAAGACAATGGAAACAATCTGAGACCAATGTGGGCTAATGACACAATAAACAAATAGATGAGAGATCACAAGACAAGTTACCTGCTTGTGATATCACCATGAAGTTAACATTAGGAATAAAAGAAAGATTTATGATAAATGTATAAAAACCAAGTTTCACAGTAGTTGGGAAACAAGAACTATGAGCCAAATGATGACACTGTCATCAAATCAAGCCTTTCTCTTTGAGAGTGCACAACTTGTTGAAGCGGCTCCTCCTTGCAACCAGATCTTTTATCGCTTAACTCACCAGCTGCTGAAAATCAGCTATACTCTCAATTGGTAGGTGTTCCAAGACTTGTATTGACTATTTTGCATGAAGTGCCAAAATGCTGAAGGAAATGCATGCTCACTGGAGTGCAAGAGTACACAACTGTACTAAGAGTACATGAGTACACGTATGTAACAAGTCAATACCAGCTTGCTTGGCTACTTCTTTGGAGACACTAGCTGCAAAATTTTTTATGCTGCACCTAACTGCATGTAGAAAGATTGGAAAGCTTCAAACTTGCAGAACAGCAAAAATTCTGTAAATGAAACAAAAAATCTCCATGGGAGTCATTTGACCATAGTCTGAAGTCTTGACCATAATTCATTCATAAATTATCCACAAATTCACATTTCACTCAAACAACCAAGAGTTGGGTTAAAGGATGACCACGAGATACTGAAAAAAAAATAGAGGCTGAAAAGCATAAAGAGCAATCAGATTTTTCACTTCACAAGCAGAAGATTTCATGCCAAAACACAGAGCAGAAGAGTCGGAATGCGGAAACCTTCCATTCTCAATTGTGGATCTTGATAGCCTTCTCCAGATAATTGTATCTGGTGCGCTTGGGAGCCTTGTTGACGTGCTCAAGTCCAAGCCAGGGCCGTGTTGCAGACCCAGGACCCCCAGGGGTCAAGTGGGGACGGAACTCCTTCAGGTCAACAACAAAGTCCTCATTGTCGATGTATGTTGCTCGTCCCATCACCACCAAGGCAAACTTCCACTTCTCAAACTCCTTGTCAGGAACCTCAAGCCTCTTGTGGATCCGCTCCTTCACCCGGGCAAAGGATTCTCCATGTGTGATTTTTAGGTAGAAAGGTGTTCCAAAGGTTGAGAAGATTTCCTTTTGAAAATGGGCACAGGGCATTAGAACCTCATTCTCCCGCAGATTAGTCTCATCTTTGGGCACCTCCTCGATGCGAAAGACTCTAGTGTTGTCCAAGCGGAGGTTTTCGAGGAGGGTTTCTTCTGAATGGGAACAAAATATTTTGGATGAGGCTATTTCGACCAGCCGTAGCTGTCCTGAACCAGCCTCAGACAAACTGAGGACCTTTCTTGCCTCCTGCAGGAGATCAACTACTTTCCCATTCTTGTCTGGATACAAAACCAGTTCCTTCTCTTCCTTCAGGTCTTCACTCATCCATATACACTTCACCTGACGTTTATTCTCCAGTTCACTCACTTTGATGCTAAGGATTTGATAGAATAATTTCCTCACAGTTTTTGGCTTTGCATGGGACATTATATCCTTCAGGGTATCCTCTGAGCTACATTTCAATGGATAACCTGGCAAATCACGATAATTCTGTGACTTGAAGAACTGCAGTAGGTATGGATCAGTATTGAGGCGATGGGCAACTTTCTTGGCCATCTGATCATATGTCATAGACTGTGACATTTCCATGGAGAAGCCAGAATCATTAGGATTGTTCTTGTCGATAAACAATATCTCCATTCGATAAAGCAGGTCCCGGAAATAAGCCTTCGCTGTGGGCAATTCACTGACAACATTGGGATCATCTTTTTGGAACACAATGATATCACCATCCATGGGTTCATCCAGTGCCTTTTCAATAGGGCAGTTGAGATCTTCAAATTTCTGGATGTGATTTGGCCGAACTTCCTCATACAGAATGAGGTCAGTGTCAGGCGGGAAGCCTGCCCTTTCGTTCAACACTGGGATCAAGTCACTGGTATTCCGACTAACAGATATGTATAGATGCCCACAATAATGCAGCTTCTTCTGTTTAGGACAATATTGCTTGAAAAAGAGGAGAATGTCTGTGTCTCTATCAAAAGGAGAAAGGGCATGAATGTCTGAATCTGGTGGTATAAGCTCAAGGTATACTAGCCATGGATTATTGCTGTCGGCAGCATCCATGACTGCTTTGCCAAAATCAGCCTCTGGATCAAGAAGAGAAGGTCTATAAGTTTCATTTGAGCGTTGATTGATGGGCCAGATGCGAACCTGTTCTAAAGGATACTTCATGCTCTCTGCAAGGGTCTCAACAAGCTCTCGAACTGTGGCCGACTTCCTGATCCGGAACCTCAATGCATGGTCCTGGACTTTCTCTGGATCAAACAGATCTGGTCCTTGATGGCCACAAAAGTCATCATCAGTCAAAACCTGAACTGCTAGGTATAGATGAGCCTCATTTCGCTCCTTCCGTTTGATTGTCTCCATGCGTTTCTCCTCCTGAAGTCGGAATATCAACTCACTTGGGATATCATCCTCCTTCACTTCTTCAAGGACTTCATGCAAGCAGGAGTCACGGATGTAGACCAACATGTATGCATTGGTGCAATTGCGAACTGCAATACACATCTCTTCGTCCTGACCCCCAAAGTTATTTTCAATGGCCTCTGTCTTTGTGCATCGAGAGACAACATCATCGTCAAACTTGCACCACTTCCCATCTCCTTTTGGGTTGATGAAGACGACATAATGGCCACCATGGTTGTCCCCACTGTGAACAAGCACAGCATGCAGCGTGTATCGAGCTGGGGTATCTTCTGGTTTCTGGAGGTATTCATCCAAATTCAGACTCTCTGGAAACTCAAACCTGTCATTGATCTTCACATTAGAGTCAGTCATGGGATCATACTGAAACCTCATCAGGTGAAGATGAAGCACGGGTGGGAACCCTGAAAAAATGACACCTTTCTCAGCATCTTGAAGTCCATAAATACCAGCATCATACTTATTCTCACCATCCAGCATCTCAACAGCTACATAATCCTTGAATGAATCATAGAGAGTTTTCTTCCCTTTCACATTCAGCTGGATGTCATAGAATGCCTCAGTTCTTGAGGATGTGTATTCAACATTTTTACAGCGAATGAAAGAAACCATCTTTCCTTCAAAGAGCTTTGGTATCGTCCCTTCCACACAGGTATCCTTCATCTTGCTCTCCAGGTTATCTAAGAGAACACGGAGAAACTCCTGGACATCATGCTGCATAAATGAATCAAGGGTTTCCCATCCAAAGGACTTGGTCAGTTTCTTTGTACCGACAGGCTTGTCATTGAATTGCAATTCATAAAATACCCTCTGAAGGGCAAGGGCAACACTCTTGGCTGAGTCGTCACTCTCAGTGGGCATTTTATAAACTGCCTTACGAAGTTGATTCGTGAAGTACAGGACTTGGAGCAGGGAATTCATATAACAGGTTGCCCCTTGATTCTTGAGACCCACATACCCTGTGTGCTTCTTACTGTCCCAGCTCACACCATGAGGAGCATCAGCACAAACATAAACTTCAAGCGTGATAGAATCATCCTTGATGTATCCTTTCTCAGGATCACAAACATCACTCCATGAAATGAAGTGACTGAAGCCCCAGTCATTCTCCTTACAGTAAAACAGATGGGAAATCTTCCTGGAAAATGGCTCTTCCCCATCGTGCTTAAGCAAGCGCAACTCTGCACTGGCTTGGACACTCCATGAAGATGAATCAGAGTCCCCATTACACTGCAGGAAGAAACCAAGGCACCTGGTCATTTGCTTGTCCTGATTTGGAGTAGTTCGTGGCATCACCATGATCTTCCAGGGCAAGTTTCGCACATAGCAAGGAGGAGACAGTGTAGAATCTTTGAGTTTACTAAAATTCTCAACGGTGAAACGAAAAGTGGCCTCTGGTCGAGAGTCATCCTCCTCCATATCAGTATCAGTCAGTGGCCTGGATTCCCCATTGACAGCTGGGGTTTCCTCAACAACAGGAACATCTCCACCTCCATCCTCCAAGGCAACTCCTTCCTGTGTCTCCATGTCTTCTACCTGATCTTCCATCTGCATATGGTCAAACCCTGCACCTCGTTCTTCTTCGGTTTCTCGCATGGTTCGCATCACCGCCAGCTTAGACTGTGGTTTCTTGGGAAGGCCAAGACGGAGGTGTTTGCTTGCATTGATTCCTACACTTCTACTAGACACAGTCACTTTGCTGTGTTTGCTTACTATACGCCCAATGTCGTTGCATGCACTCCCCAGGCCGAGGCCTGGACACTCTCACGTCACAATATATTCATGTCACCATGTAAATGCCCATGAAAACCTGCTGAACCAGTCAGGAAAAAACAAAGAACCACAGTCAGACATTGAAGCACCTGACAACTCTTATACATACAAAAATAAACATAAAATACACATATCAAAAATGACTAGGTTCATTTTTAATTATAGTAGCCAACTATGCCCTAAATTAAGAAGGAACCCATTAGGGCAATGCAACATGTATGGAGATCAAGTAATTACAAATCTGCTTGAAAATTTGAAAAGCTTGACAAAATGGATCACATCAATCCTCTTTCTCATGTGGTTCAGGTAATGTCTCTTCTTCAGCAGCCTCAAAAATATCCCCACAACATACAGAATAGCATATCAGACTCAGGAAACCAAGAGGCAAGCCAAACAAGACAGACATGAGCACAGGATTCCCTTCCCACATTTGGAACAAGGATGTCTTTGCATTGAACAGTGCTCTATAAGCATTGATCAGATAGGTGTCTCCACCATAAACAGGGGCAGAGAAGTTGAGAACCGACTTCAGGAAGTCTGCACAACGAGATTCACTGAAGGACTCATCTATTTTGATATCATCATTTGGCAGAAGATACTGTAGAGTTGTTGCATTGATAACAAGGATGGAGGGGATGTCCAGATTTTGCATGGCAACAGAATTGGCAATCTCAGGGTTGCTCATCCACCCAAACTGAAACCACTGTCTGAAAGACTCTTCCTCTTGCAAAGCAAGGCGGTGAATGATGTCCTGCAATTGGAGCATCTCATTCGTAAGATCTCCAAGGGTATCTTCCTCAAGAACAGCAATGACCAGCCATTTCTTCAGTTTCAGCAGCTGATAGAAGTTCCCATGATTGACTTTGAGAAAACTTGGAAATCTCTCATGATTGATCCATTGATACACAGTCTCATTAAGAGCCTTAGTGCTAACATCATGCGACACAGGTGGCATGGCATGATAAACTTTGTCCTTATGAACAAACACAGCTGGCAGCACCACTGTTGGCTCATGTAATTTATTGAGGCACATGGCATCAACAGCATAGAATGAATGACGTTCCTGGAAAGCAAATGCAGCACCCTGGAAAGCATTCCATAGAGTACCAGTCCTCTCTCCCACATAGAGGAAGAAGAGATCATGCCCTCTGATGACAGCATCAAGGTGAGCGCAAGTTGCAAGGACCTTGACAGCTGGGCCCGACAGACGCTTGGCAAAGGCTAATATGTCATCCTTGCTCCGATCACCTGAATAAGTGAAGACCTCCTTCCCCTTCATGAACATGATGGTTGGGAAGCCTTTGATGCTGAATTCTTGGGCAACAGATGTGAAGCGTGTGCAATCTAGTTTCCCCACCTTGATTTCTGTCCCAACAAGGGCCTGCGCAACTTGATAGAATACTGGCTCCAGCCGTCGGCAATGGCCACACCAGGGTGCATAGAACTTCACAAGCCATGGTGCATCTTCCTTGATCTCCAGGAATTTCTCTGTGAGTTCTATCACACGAGATCCATTTACGCAGATGCCAGCAAGAGTGAATACAAGCACAACTGACTTTAGCATCTTGAGAAATTCCATGAGACAATTTCCTAGTCATCACAAGAAAAGAGCAGCAAATCATGATAACTGTGCCAACTACAAGTAAACCCAAATTATAATACTTCAACTTTTGCATTAAGAAATATATAATGCAAAAAAGATGATGAAGTATAAAAGAATGTCCTTTTCTTACTAAAGGAAAGGAGAGGGGAGGAAATGGGGATGGAAAAAAGGGGAGGATAGCATAATGGGAAGATGAAAAAAATGCATAAATATCATTTAGCACAATTACTTAATACATGGAACTAAAATATATAAAGCTCCATGATAGACCTAGTCCTAATTGCAATAGCTAGTATACTTTCACTACAAGTTGGTCCCATTTCACAGTTAACCATTTGCCAATAACCCCATGGTACCAAGAACATCACCATTATATGAATATGAAAACCCAATGCCATGATACCACTAACTTAAACACCAAAAGAATTGGCATGGCAAGTACCTCTATAAAAGATTAGACTATGATGATCATGTGGCTGAAGCAAAGCAGGTTTATCACCTGGAAGCAATTCCTATTTGAACTTCACAATGCAGATAATAGGAGCCTTATGAAAGAAAAAGTCCAACTCAATAACTCAAGCCATAGAAAACTTTGTAAAAGAAAAAGTGTAGCAAATTACAACTCAACATGCCAAACATTCTGCAGGCAAGTTTTTCAAGCCCATCTGGAAGTAGAGTGTGTGGATCTACCAGAGGACTTTCTGCTGCCTTAAAAATCATACTGAATTACACTGGCATTACTTCATGATAAGTTCATTCTCCTAATTTAAAAATATGAACTCATCTCTCAGCTTCTCTATATGACTGCCATGTATCTGATTGGAAAGAAAGTTCTTGGAATTTCTTGAATATCCAGTACAATTTTTTTCCAGAGCATGCTAGAATGTTNTTACTTCTTGCACACTGCATGAGCCCAAGAGCACATGATAACAAATGGTCTGATGATAAGTTGAACTCATTTTATGATATGCAAAGGCATACTCTTTAGCTGCTAGTGGTGTCAGTATTGCAGCTTGGCCAACCAAGAAAACAAGTCAGTCATAGCTTAGGTATGTAGCTGGCTTCATGTATGGCTAAGAGTTCTTAAGATGCTAGAGATATTTTCTCTATACATATAGCCAGAAGGTTGAGTTGGCTGGCAACCCACAAAATTCTCCCTATCACCCAACCTTGCCGCTTGGTCAAATCCTTCTCGCCTCGAGACAGAAGGTAGTTCCATCTTGGAGTAGAGGTCTAGTGACAGTCCTTATAGAAATCCTTAGAGCCAGTGGGATCTTCATCACCTGCATTGTGCTTGGGCAACTTTCAGGGTCCTATATACCTGCTTGTGGAAATGTGGGGAGGTTATTCATGTTTATTCATGCCATTCACTCCCTACACCTTTTGTGGTATACATATTGACCTAATGGGCACTTCACATATCTCATGGGTATGGGAAGTTCGCTCAAAAGGAATTAATGCTGATGAGATCTGAGCTTCAAGTTTTTATTTTTGCTTTACCTCCATGGATTTGATTTAAATTCCGAGAACTTTCTTTCCAATCAGATAGATCAAAGGCTAGTTCACTTGATGCTTCCATGTCTTTGCAGATGAAGAAACAGACATGAATTGGTGATTCAATACTAGCATATCAGTTTTACTTCATCTGATTCTGCCTGCTAGTTTTCATGTACATAAAGAGATTCTAATATCTGTAAAACCTCAATTATGCCAGCATGTCAAAGTGCAAGACCTGTAGCCAACTCAATCAGAATTTAAATCAAATCCATGGAGGTAAAGCAAAAATAAAAACTTGAAGCTCAGATCTCATCAGCATTAATTCCTTTTGAGCGAACTTCCCATACCCATGAGATATGTGAAGTGCCCATTAGGTCAATATGTATACCACAAAAGGTGTAGGGAGTGAATGGCATGAATAAACATGAATAACCTCCCCACATTTCCACAAGCAGGTATATAGGACCCTGAAAGTTGCCCAAGCACAATGCAGGTGATGAAGATCCCACTGGCTCTAAGGATTTCTATAAGGACTGTCACTAGACCTCTACTCCAAGATGGAACTACCTTCTGTCTCGAGGCGAGAAGGATTTGACCAAGCGGCAAGGTTGGGTGATAGGGAGAATTTTGTGGGTTGCCAGCCAACTCAACCTTCTGGCTATATGTATAGAGAAAATATCTCTAGCATCTTAAGAACTCTTAGCCATACATGAAGCCAGCTACATACCTAAGCTATGACTGACTTGTTTTCTTGGTTGGCCAAGCTGCAATACTGACACCACTAGCAGCTAAAGAGTATGCCTTTGCATATCATAAAATGAGTTCAACTTATCATCAGACCATTTGTTATCATGTGCTCTTGGGCTCATGCAGTGTGCAAGAAGTAAGGTGAGTGCATTATGAAAGATTACAATCAAATCCAGTCATAATAGGCAGCAAAAGTCAGGCTGGGAATTGCCATCATCAGCTCAATAGCCTTGGAAGGAATACCCTTGTTGGCTCCAGCATATAGAATGGAAACTATAAATGGATGGAAGTTTTAGATTAGTATATTAGACCTATTTTTCATAAAGACTTATGAGCAGCATTTAAACTGTCTGTGTTCAAGTCACCAGGTACAGGAGAATATAAGATCATGAACATGACCTACCACAATAACCCCACATACAGAGATAAAACTCTCTATCTGCTCCACCTTTCACAAAGGTGAACCTTATTTCAATGGATTGTACCAATGAAATTTCCATGGAATCATCATGGAAAATGCTAAGGGTAATACAGAATTGAAAGTGAAGTCACTGGAACCATATCCACTAGTAACCTGGTGTAACTCACCTTCATAACCAGACAAAAATTTAATTTTAGTCTAAATTCTTACTCTGAAGCTAGGTCTGGGCCAACACTACTTGGGCCAAGCCTAAACATCAGGATTCTGGACACCAGGACAGAAGCACTCCTAGCTCAGGAGTCTCCATACTGGAGCAAAATGGAACTCACTTGGTCCCAATGATGATGGATGTACTTGAAAAGAATTGTCACATTTAGCTGGTTTCAAACATAAACCTGCCATGGGAGCCCAGTTTAAAAGGCTTACCAATTGACATCACCTACCCCAGAGAACATACCATGCTTCCTAACTTGCCAGACTCTGGGTTGATGAGCTGGATAAAATATCTTAATGAACTGGTTTAACCATGGTAAATTTAATTGAACATATAACCCCTCTGAACATAAAGGAAACTATTCTGTGTTCTCTTCATATTTAAATGAATTTCTAGTGTTATATTCTGCTGAACCTTACTTCATACATAACAAGGTTCATGTCAAATTGCTGTAGCAAGTCCCTGACTCATTTTCTTGTGAGGGACTCATATTTGCAAAGTCTCTAAGTCTGTGGGACTCATTGACAATCACATTGACATGAACATATTCCCACTGAGCTGAAGCTAGGCACCAGGACACAAGACTTAAAAAAGCTAGTGTGAACCCTGCATAGGCATGAGGCTTTTCATATTTTTTGCCTCTTCTCTCAGCTTCATTACCTTACACTTGAAAGAATAAATATTGGTGCACAACTTTATAATACCAGTCCATGTATTGAGATAATTTCTTTGAGATCTTTTCTTCAATAAATAAAATCAAATATCAATAATAAATATCCAAAACAGGAACGGAGCTAAATTAGGCTATTTAGCACTAAAAAGATATTGAAAATTGGTAGCGGTAAAGCTAGCAAACTGAAAAAAGGGGATGGGGGAGAGGGATAAGACCAAACACAAAAGCATCACTTTCATGTCACATAATGATCACTTAATAAACTTCAGTAGTGAATAAAGTTACATGCTTCACTTCATTGAATTGCCTCAATCCATAGTCCTGGTTCATGGAATGAGGTGTTACACTAACTTGACCTCTGCTTAGGAGTACTGGCCATCCTCAATTTGTTAAGTAATGAATGCCAGTCACACATAACTTCATTTACATGCTCCCATTCCTCTCCCCCTGTGAGACTCACTGGCATTTACATCAGTTGCTTATAGTTCACTTAAACGAAATACTAAATGACTGCACACTGCCTTCAACTGCAGCCATTATTTAACACAGCTAACGCACCATTTCCCAATGAAGTTCACTTTTTCAGTCTTCGGTCTCTGACACAGTAACGGGAAAACAGTTGCACACCACTGTCTCTCCACTGTTCCTCCTTGAATCAATTATGTTTACCCATTCAAACTAAGATGCTCCCAACAGCTCCCCAGGTACTATACGTCCCTCCCCCCCCCCCAAAAAAAAAAATTTTTTTTTTTTACTTTAATGCTGAATTCAACTTATACATTGCAACGTGCCAGCAAGAAGTTGGTTAGTAATGGACGTGGTAACTAACGTTACATCTACTTTCCATGACAATAATACGCCACGGAACACTCTGTGCGATCCTAACATTATCCCGTTAACTGATGAATGTTACTGGAAAATCTACTCGCCCCCCGGCTCAAAGCCTCGAAAAGGCCTTGTTGCTAGGGAATGAGGACCACCGGCAACTTGACATTGAGTTCTGGCACGGCCTAACGGTTCACGCTAGCCAAGCCAGGCATATCTCGAAACCGATCTGAAACCCGTACTCACAAAGGAGAAGTAGCGGAGCCTGGACTAACACAGTGGAATCGATAGAGATAAAAATACAAAAGTAATACGCAGCTGTTCGGCACAAGGAACGAGAGGCGGTGATGTGCCCGTGAATGGGACGCCATGATGGAATTGATCCGTTTCTGCGTGCCAGTGTTGCCAGGTTCCTGGATTGTAGTCCTCCCCAAGTTTCCCTTTGTTCCTCAAACTGAATCGAGTCGAACGTATTCCAGACAAAAATGCCGGATTAGAAAAGACACAATATTGCTAGTAACAGCAGAATTAATTGGAACCAATTCCAGTTGTGCAAAAATCAAGTGAAATTCATTGAAGATGGATTTCATGTGCAACGT